TATGGATATACGTTGTCTTACACATAGAAACTGAACATTTTGATCAATAAAACTGAAACAACTACTATCAAGGCATCGACACTTGCATATATGGATGATACTCTTTAGATTGTAAGATCTCAGAATGATCTTGCTGATATTATTAACATTGCCAAGAGTTTCTATAAATTGAATCACATCAAAGTTAATTGATCTTTTGACAAATATCAAAAAGAAAATTAATAATAATATTACTTGATTATTTATATGCAATATTAATGGTCAGCCTACTAATATTGAACCATTATCAATCAATGATTCAACTCGATATCTTGAGTTTAGATCTCTTTGAAACGTAATAAGACTTTTATCATCAACATGCTGAAAAATAAAATCAAAAACGCTATCGCAATTATGTATAAAAAGAAAATGACTGACAAGTAAATAGTCTACATTTTTAATATAGTCTTGACTCCCCGTATTGAATATCATGCTTAACTGACTGCTCTTATAGCTGCTCAATATGATGCTATAGGCACTTCATACCACAGGGTTAACCCAATGGCCAATGGATCCAATGGATATTGGTTTATTAAAAAGTCCAATGGATCTATAAGAAGATATTGGATCTATTGAGATCATTAATTTAATTGGTTAATTTATTATATATGAATTTAATTAATTTTAAAACTCATAACTCATCAACCATGAATGCTAGAAATATGAATTTATATTTATTTTAATTCTTAAACCTTAGAGTATATTTAATAAAAATTTGAAATTGGATTACTAATACCAATTTTGCGCAATTTATTAATTTACATCAATTTTTTATTAAATTAAATTTAAGCATAGAAAATATTTTTGAGCAGGCTGCTTACTAAAAAACTGATATTGGATTCTGATTCTCCTCAATGCAACGATTTCAACAAGCTAAAATTTGTCAAAATCAGATCAGTAGATCAGTAAAAAATCGATCTACAAAATCACATTGTATTAATGTCTAATCAAATTTTTTATATGGTAATGTGACTTGTAGATCGATTTTTTACTGATCTACTAATCTGAGCTTCTGATGCTTGAGGCATTCATTTATTGCAAAAAAATATATGGTTTTTGCAAAAATGAACAATTCACTTTGATGTTATTCATTTTATGCAAAATATTAAACTTTTTTTGCAAAAATAACGCCTCCTATGCTTGAGGCATTTATTTATTGCAAAAAATTTTAATTTTTTTTGCAAAAATGACGTCTCTGATGCTTGAGGCATTCATTTATTGCAATTTATTTTTGCAAAAATGACACTTCTGATGCTTGAAGCATTTATACATTTATTGCAAAAATATGTAAAAATCAAATAAACTATGGAGTTATTTATTTTTGTAATTTTTTTTTGACAAAATCAAATTATATCATATGTTGGCCAATAGATCCTAATAGATCCTAATAGATCATCATCTATTAAAATCCATTGACTAACGATCTATTCATGCATACTACACCATTTGGATCCAATGGATTACCAATAGATCATTTAGCTATTGAAGTCCAATGGATCTGATCCATTCCCAACTCTGTAATATAATATATATTATAATAAATAATACAACTATGTAATCATAAATTATTAAAATAACTTTTTTATATTTTTTATTAAATTTAATTAAAATTTCTTATAAATAATAATCTATTAATAATAAATAAATTAAATAAATATATGTTTTCAATGTATTAATATTAGTATAGTTATAATAATTATATTTAAAATTATGATAAAATTTGATTGGTTTATTAAATAATTCTTAGATATTATTCAAAAATTTTGATTTTTATGATTAATAATACCCTGATACTATTTTCAGAATGTATTATACTAAGGGGATAAGATAGGTAATGCTATATGGTATAAGCTAGTAAATATTTTAATATTAATGATAATGAACAGATTATAATATTAAACTTTAATATATTCTAAAAATCAGGATTATATCATACTGGTGTATCATATTTATGTATATTTATATTTATAAAATATAATATTTTGACATATTGAAACACAGTTAAATATTTAGTAACTAATCTAATTAGTAAAAAGTATTATATTTAATAATAAAATTTACTATAATTTGTATAATAAAAATATATATTTATTTTACATTTATTAAAATTTTAACATTTATAAATAAATTTTATCTATTAATTAATATATTGATATTTAATACTAGTTAAAATTTATCCAAAATTTATTCTGAATTCACAAAATTTAGCTGAATTATTACAAGACTGAAACTTCTTATTTTAACCAATAATATAAAGATACATAATTTTCTTTTATAGTAGTTATTATATAATGCTTGATTATAATATAATATTATATTAAATTCAATTTATTTAAAAAATTAAATAATATTTAAATGTTTTATTAATTAAAATTATTCATTTTTGATTTTTTACATATTTATTTAATATATAAATCATATTAATTAGGAGATTTTGCTATTATCATAAATTATAAGTAAAAATTATTAATAATTTTAAAATATTATAAGATTATAATAAGTAAATAAAGCTTATAACACTAAGTAAAGTTGTAACTTTGATAAATTTCTACATTAATATTATTTATAAGATTTTGAAAACCTTTCTTTTTATTAAAATTTAGTTAAATTAAATATTGTTAAAATTTAGCTTAAATTCTTAATTTTAGTAAAATTATAAATTATAAGATATAATTACATAATTATGTTTAATAATATAGGAGTTTTGAATAGAAAGGGAAGAAACTTTTAAAAAAAAATTTTTTTTAAGATAATGTTAAACCTGTTAAATCTGAGCTTATTTAACTAAAAAAATCATATTTAGCTTATAAAGTAAAATTTTAATTTTTTTTAGAGTTGCAAAGCTCCTATATATCTTTTAAATTTTATATTATGTTTTTAGTAAACGATTATTATAACATGTATAATTATTAGAATTACATTTATAATGCATGATAGCAACCATTTTCAAGATATCAATCTTTTCATATTCTTAAATAAAAAAAATTAAAACCTATTTTTTTAAAAAAAAATATTTATATCAGATCTAAAATTACTTATTTTAGATTTAACAAAATATTTAAACTTTATATATTTTGATATAGTTTATTTTTTTTTTTTGAATTTTGAAGCCTTTTAATAAAATTTTATTAAAATTTTAATTATATTTTTATTATCTTCTTATCTTTAGGATTTATTTAATTATTTTAGTCAAATTTAAATATATTATATAATATTTATTTAAACTATTATAGTAATTTTATATTTATTTAATTTAATTTTATGTAATAATAATATGAATATTAAAAATCAGTTTTTTAATAAAATTAAATTAATTGCATTTTAATTTATGATATAGGGCCTTTGCAATAGAAAGGGGGGAAATGGCCGGAAAAATCAAAAATAATGCTACATTTGATCATATTTTAGCCTAAAAATCATATTTGGCATATAAAAGTAAAATTAAATTTTCCCGGCAGTTTCCCCCCTTTCTATTGCAAAGGTCCCATATGATTAGATTTAAATGTATTAAGATTAATAAAATTTTATAAATTGCTTGAATTTGAATTTGAATTTTTTTTTCTTTTTATCAATTATCCTAACTTTAATTAAATAGTTATTTGTAAATTTAGTCTACAAGAAGAAAAAAAATAAATATTTAGTTAAACCTATTTTTTGTTTTAAAATTAAATTACCATATGGGTGGTTTGCTAGGAAAATGGGGCTGAGCATTTTTTATTAAAATTTTAATAAAAAATGCTCAGAGTCCCATTTTAAAGTATCAATTAATTTAATTTTCGAGTTAACGATATATATTTTTTATTAATAAAAATCACTTCATACAAGTTTTTATTTCATTGGATCATCATTAAGGTGCGAAACAAAATGACATTACTATTTAAAACTAATAATATCGATATGAGATAAGCTGATTACGCAACAAAAACAATTTCCATTAATGCAAAAAAAAAGTATTATATATCATGTGAGTATTACGACATGTCAAAAATTTTTGTTGCAGCAAAATTTATAATTCTACAATTTTAAATGTATGAATCCAATACAATAAATTCATACTTTTAGTTTAAAAATGAAATGAATTTTAAATACAGGATAAAGTTGAAAGAGTTAAAAAGTTTATAATGAAAACGCATAAATAGTTAACAAGCTTCGAATCATTAGTAAATCGGTAAATGGGGGTAAATGGATTATACAGACAAAGAACTTCTAATCTACTTTGATTTATTCATAAAATATTTGGTGCTGATGTAATATGATATTATATTGTGGCTTATATTATTATTTTTTTTTTTAATAAGGAAATTGGTGAATTAATGTTTTTCTTTTCCATAAAAGCGTTCGTCCGCAACAATAAATTGTTAATTGTTAGATAAGCCAATCAAAGCCAATCGCAACCAGTTTAAAAATAGTATGCAGACCAAATTTCTAACCCTTTTTAGCTTGAAAGATTTGCTACATATAGTTGGCTGTGCAAATTCGGCCGTTTTTATTATTCATGAAAAAAAAAAAACGATTTTGATAAAATTGTAGATCCTTAACCGGCTGAATTAAAAAAAATTCCCACTTAATTACTTACTACCTATTAAAGAGTAAAATAAATACATAAATAAAATATAGAAAAAATTCCCGGCGAAATATACGAAAAACTCGATAAAAGTTGGTTTGAAAAAACGGGGTTATACGGCAAATTTCCTTGTAACATTCATTTCTTTATGACGTTTATAATTTAAATGTATTCCAATAAATTCATAAATTTTTTTTTAAAAAAATAATTGTATTCATATATTTACAAGAATAGTATGAGCTTATGCATATAAAAAATAAAATCTTATTTTAGAGTCTTAAGTGGTTATGTTTATGATGTGTCCGATATTTTATGTTAAATACGATTTATATTACCCAGAAAAAGTTCCGAAAAATCGAATAAGAAAGAAAGTATTCAAAGATTTTTGAAAGAAAATTTATAATAAGCTATCATAATAACCCAAATAAAATTCTAAATCACGATTCTCAAAGGAATCATGACACGTATAAGAACTTGATGTTGAAAATTCATTATCTTTTAATAAAGAATTATATTCATTTTGGTGACAAAAATTTAATTCACTGTCACAATCCAGGGATGGGGTTAATAAATTAAGATCAGAGTTTATCATCAACCCAACCTCCGAAATAGGATAATACTGGCTAGTAACTTGGAAACTATCTTGTTGTTGCAATTGTTGAAAATGATCATTGTATGCGTTAACGGTGGGATTAAAGTGCGGAATGAATGTTTGATTGTCAACTGATGACTCATCCGAACTTGAGCTTTCCTCAGAATTCACAGATCCATCACATTCGGTGATTGATGTTTCGGATGAATACGAAGAATTAGGACTAGAGTTGGATTTCATGTTGTTTTCTTCATAACTCTCAGATTTTTCAAGTTCGATAAATGAATTAGAAGAATTGGAATTTGAATTAGAATGTTTATCTTCCGATTTATCGTCGACATCAGGTTTCACGGAGAAATCAAGAGTTGAAATGTTGAAATTTGCATTTCCTCCTTTAAGACTCAGGAAGAAGGCATCGCTACCAAATCCTGAATTAGACTTTCGACCCCTTTTACGATTTTTAGTTTTCCTTCTTCCTCCGTTTCCATTGTTAAAATCATCAGTGTATACCAAATCCTTGTTCCTAATATCATTTAATTCCTTTTCAACTTGCTTTGCAATTTCCTCATAAGCTTCTTTAACTAGTTTACTTTCCCTCTTCCAACGAGAAGATACGAGTCTAGAAACTTCGGTCATTTTTAATTTGTTATTTCCTCCAAAGCCTGCTAGCTGGTCAACGAACGCTTTACGGTATACGAAAAATGCGTTTGGACTTTTTGAACAAATTCTTGAACGTAATCTTTTCTGCGCTATATCTGATGCACGAATGGTTGGAGGAAATGGTAACTCTATGAGAGGAAGTTGACTTAAGCTAGGCGTGGCGTTGCTGACAACGGGTTTTACTACCGAAGGTTGAGGAAATTTATGATAATGATGAATGATATTAACTTGAAATTTATTCATAATGAGGGAATGTTTAATGATAATAAAAATAAAAATAATTGTAATTATAAATGAAAAAAAAAGGAAAATATCTATTTTATTTTATTTTTATTTTTTTTAATAACGGAATTGAATTCAATTTGGCATGTTAAAATTTTTTTTTCTTTGAAATGTTGAAGCTATATATATATATTTATTTATTTATTTGAACTTCAATGTTACAATTGTTTTTTTTTTACGACAAAGAATTCTTAAACAGATCGATCCCTGAATCAAAACTATTTTAGATTTATCCGTTGCTATCAGGTATAGTAATTCTCTGGAATGTTGCCTTGGACAGAAATTTTACAATGTTTATATATTTATAATCTTGTACGTCAAAGCTTCTTTTATCGTCCTACATAAACTCTTCAAGTTATTTTTTATCATAGATGTCCCGAGTCATACATTAAAATCATGTGAAGTGCTTTATTAGAACGGGTTTAAAAAAAATCGAATGTATATTGTATTGTTGTGCTTTTTAACAAAGAAGTTTAAGGTTAAAAGAGGGAAAGAATCTTACTAATACGCGAGATTCAATTCATTTATCCGATTAAACGTACAAAAATGGTAAAACACGTAAAAAAAAAATTAAAATATATCCTGTTTTACAATGGCATCAAAAATAAAAAATAAAATAACGTTTCAAACTAATTTGACGCCAAAGAAAAAATTTATTTGTAATTTCGGTTTTCTTCGTTATAGTAATTCCCTTCTTTAGTCACTTTTAAGCTTCAAAATATTTTATTGTTGTTGACGTATTTGGTAATTGATTTCATTACTTTCAATTGGACGCGAACGAGAGCAAACATTTCTTCCACTTGAAGTTGTGGAAAGGAGAGATGCATTTGTCTCATCTAATCAATGACATATAATTAAACGCCACACTTGATGTAGAAGTTGTGTAACCGAAGAAAAAGAACACAAATCGGCTATTTCAAATGCATAAATGCATTGCACAAGAGGAAATTCAGCCACAATAGAAATATGCAATTAGATTACTTTATTTATATTTGAGATCATCAAAGCAATAAATGTTATCATTGGAAAATTGTATCTTTATTTAGGAGACAAAATATCCATCTCGGAGGCAGGAGTGAATGCTTTTGATGAATTTCAAGACAACTTGAAACAAATTAGCCGACCTTGTTCATCTTGTTTTTTATCATTCATTAAAAGATAATAATATATTTGTTTTTTTTTTTTTTTTTTTAATACATAAATAAATTTATGCAAAAGAGTAGATCTCATCAAACGCGTTTTCAAGTTTGACAAATATTCTCTTAAACATTGTCTAATCCACAAACGGGATCCTAGCTTTGTAAACAAACATTGGCGAGGACTTTTATGTAAAACAAATTCATAAATAACTTGGACCTTAATTTATTGAAATTACGTGATTTTAATTACAAAATGCCATATGACATCTTTTTCAAGAGAAGAATAGGCGAAAGTGAGAATGAAAAACAAACAGTCTTGGTCAACAAGGATATAACATTGTAACCGTAATTAATAATTTGTTATCTTAAAGATTTACTCATTCTTTCATCAAGACATCAACCGGTTATTCCAAATAAAGTAATATTTTTAGCGATCTCCGTGTTTTATTATAATAGACGGAGGGATTTCCTTTTTCCTCCAAATGTAATGTAATGTCAATTAAATCCTCTTTATTTTATTTTTTATTTTATATTTTTATTTGCTGTTACGCGTTTATGGTTTTGCGCATGGTTGTAAATAATGATTGTGTAAAAGTCGGAAATGTTGAAATTGTTGAAATGATAAAAGTTTCAGAATTTTCAGAAATTTTAATATTGTTTAATATAAAACTTTCTAAAATCGTCTCCAAAGATGTTCAATTCTAAATTTGAAGAATTTTAAGCGGCCAAAAATAGTTTTTTAATTAAAAAAAATGAAGACGTCAAAAAACAGAGTATAACTTACTTTCCTCAGAAATAAAATTTAATTTCTTTAACAAGAATGAGATAATGATTTTGTTTAATCAATTAATCGAATCGTACGATTTTACATCATTCGATAACTCCAATAAAATAACGCGTGTCCAAATTATTAACTTAAGCAATCCATCTATGTAACACATATGGTCAACTTCGATATGAACTCAATATAATCCTTTTCATAATTTCGAACTTCGTTAAAAATCAAAGTGAAAGTGTGAATTCTATGTTGAGTGTTTCGTACCCGCACAATACGATGTCAGAATTAATTGTTGTCTTTTTGCTTACATAATGGTTTGAACTAATGTTATCTATTTAAATAATTTATATATGGCTGATATTTGTTGATCAAGAAATTTTTTTGTTTTAGTGGGAAATAAATGAACAATTAACTATAAATCAATTAATTGCTCCGCCACTTAATTAGTCATGTATGGTAAGAATAATCATCGGAGTTATTCCTTCTGTTCAACAAACAAAGAAAACATTTACGAGAGATAATACATGATAATGTTGTGAGAGTGTAAAATATGATTACACGCATGATATTTTTGAGGTTTTACGCCGTTAGAGAATATGCACTCATAATTAAAAATACGCGTTCCTTGTAAACAAAGCAATGATAAAAGGATTAGGAAATCATATCTTGTGAAATCAAATGAATGGAGAGTGATGACAGGTTTATGCCAAGAAAAAAAACAAAGTTTCAGGACACAACAAAAAATATTTAATCTAAAATTTGTATAATTACGCGCCGCATTTATCCTGAACCTCTCTCTTTTTTTTTTCCTTCTTTTTGTAATGACCGTACAACATAAAACTAGTTTGCATAAGTGTTTGCATGCGTGTGTTTGTTACAGATATTAAATATATTCTTATTATATTGAAGTTACGCCATTTTTTTGAACTTTCATAATGCTATTATTACCTTCCATTTTTTGCCGGCGGTTGGATAAGTTCAGAATCGACAACAAAGCCGTAAACTGCACATGCTTCACGAATTAGTATCGATTTGTTAAATTCGTGAAACGAGAATATTTTAAAGTAAAAAAAAGAATCTTATAGGCGCGTATAAAGATCATGTGACACATAACGTGTTTCTTGTCACGCCACCTATGGGTCAATATGTGATCATAATACATGTCAATTCCGGTTTCAGTTGTCTTCTACAAAGGGCAATTTATTTGGAAAATTTTTTTTTCGTGTAATTCATGTTTGAATTCCTAAATAATCCAATGCGCCAAACCTTTTAATGATAAATATATCATGATTTTAAATAACTTTTTGGTATGAACCATGTAGATTGACCTGCGGAGGAATTTATGGGCTACAGATCTGCAGCACGCACTTAATTTTTTCTGGGCAAAAAAAAAAAAAATCATCATTCGTTCGTTCGATAACATTCAATCGACACGTTTATTGTTAATTCACGAAACCCTGATTTGGTAGTATGGATTTTATTGGCAAACCGTAAGTAACTATTTTCGAACAAATGGTTTTTGATTTCATTCAATCTAATATCCAAAAATGGTTACTTCAATTACTCCGATTGTCTCTTTGCAGATGTCTTCTGGATTTACATGAAATAAACCCAAAAATATTTTTTTTTTTTTCAATTCTCGCTTATAAAAACCATTTAGATCCCCCCTTTATTTCATCGGGCTCACACGCTTTTTGATTCTGTTGTTTTTGATTTGATCGTAGGGCATTTCTCTCTATTTCCGTTCGATTTCATTTTTTAATTATTTCGCAATTTTGTTCACCAAAAAACAAAAACAAAAAAAAAAAATCATCCTTTTTTTTTTTTTTACCTTTTTAATGAATTACTTCGGTATTAAAAATAATGAAAAAACTGTTCGATATGCCTCACCATATATTCAAACCATTTTTTGAATGCCCCGAATCAATTTCTAATGCAACGAATTGGCGCCCAACCACACTTACCTTCACTCCTCCAAAAATTCAACTTCCTTTTCCTCCCCCGATCACTGCCCAGGACATTGTCCTCAAACGTCCTTCTTCTAAAATTTGTTCAAAAAGTCCTAATGCCTTTTTTATCTATCGTAAAGCTTATTTTGATCAACTCGCTCCATTGAATCAAAGGTTCAAAATGACGGACGTTTCTAAATTAGTTAGTTTATATTGGAAAAATGAAAGGAGTGAGGTCAAAGATGCTTATAAAAAAATTGCACAGGAGGTCGAGTGGGAATTAAATGAAAGGAGGAAAAGAGATTTGGTCTACCCGGACATCAACCCGAATCTTAAAATGGCTCGAAGAAGAAGCAAAAATAATCTGAGCAATAATAATGTTTCAAAGAAGAAGTGTGGAAAGGTAATAACAACAGATAATCAAAATGAGAGTGCAATATTCGAAAGAGATGGATCTAAGGTGATGATAAACCAACCAGGTGGCACAAGTTTTGAACTCACGTTTGGTTCAGACATGCAACCTTTAATTCACTCCTATACCGTGGACTTTGAGAATTATTTGGTGTCGAATTGCACTCTTGATGATGTCGTCTCTTCATCATCTGATGAGCCTCTAGCTGTTAACGAGAAACGTAATGATAAAGATCACTTTATGGCTTCAGAAACGAACTTGGATCAGAACGGTGTTGATTATTATGTACAAAATAATTCCAACCTGTTTTTAGATGATAATGATAACGTTCTCGATCCACTACCCGCACAATCTCAAAATGATCAGCCTATTGTCCCTGTTGAGAACCATGGTCTCAACACTCAAAATGTCGCAATTGATGAGTTCTGTTTAGATGAAAATACCAATTTAAATTGGTATTTGCAGAGCTTTGTTTAATTATGTTTACTTAATACTTTCTCTCCCCAATTATTGGGCCCCAAAGCGAAACAAAAACAAAAGGTTTACGATTTCCTTTTTTTTTTGTCAAAGCTTTTTTTTTTTTTTTTTACTTATGAACAATCGCAGTTTCACCTTTATTGTAAGCTTTTTTTTTCACCCGTCAAATTCCCTTTATTTGACTGTGATTATGACACATATATTTATTTTTAAATAATATGATGAAATTGTAATTTGGGCGGATTTTTTTTTTTAAAAAAAGTTTTATTATTGGATAATCTTTTTTTCCCCCTTCTTCCCACGTTTTAAGTTGTTTAAATCTTTACTTTTTTTTTTTTTTTTAAAAAAAAAAAGCAATTTTAAGAATACCATTTATACACTATGCAACACAAATCAAGTTGATAAATAAGAATTTTTTTAAAAAAGAAAAAAAAACACTTACGCGTAATAAACTTAAGAAATATTATAGTAAACTTTTTTTTTTTTTTTTTTTTTGATGTTTTGAAGATTTTATTCGAGTACAAATACTCCAACTTACATTTTACACCAATTCCGTTCAAAAATAAATGAAATCTGCAACAAACAAACATTCACCATGAAACTGATATACCTCTACATAATTGTTGTATTACGAGCTGCATTAGTCAAAAAGAGAGAATTTTCTCTACTTTTTCCAAGAAAAACAACGCGTATTTGTTTACAATTAATTCAAAAGATTATTTTTTTTTTACCCAATATTTTGTGTATTTCCAAATTTGCAAATTATTATTAACAAATATTTTTTTTTCCCTTGGTTAAGTGAACGAATGAAATTATAGAAATAAACTCAAAAGAGGGAGGAGGCTTTCTTTTAAGGTAACGTGTGTATGTAAACAGAAATAAGCACATGAAAACGACAAAGAAATCGTCGATCAAAATGAGATATATAAAAAATAAATAAATAATTTTTTTTTTTCCAAAGCATAGATAATCAATTTCGATTCTATAAAGCATGTGGGTAAGGTAGATGGTTAATAGGATTTAGCTATTTTAGTATAAATTTTATCAGAGATCAAGTATTTTTGATAATTTCTTTATTTGACACAAAATAAAAATTCATTAAACATGAATGTCAATTTGTCAATTTTTTATCAAAGCAAGCACATAACAGGTTTTTCAATTTAGCCAAATTACGGCGGGAATTATAAAATTGGTAAGTTGAATTGATGTATATGTTGTATGCAAATGTACATGTACCCGCATGATGCAATCTTGGTCGAATAATTTTGGGTTGCGTACACGCAAAATTTCACCCAAATTAAGTAATTAATTTGGGATTTTATCTTTCTCAATTTTTTAGGATATGTAATCGCTCTTGATAAGGGTAGTGAAGAAGCTCTCTTTTGTCATAATGCGAAGGTTCCGCATGGTATCTCTGTTTTAAACGAAGAGCTTTAGACACCGAAAAAAAACATAAAAAAGGAACGAAAACTCCGTCGATCTCCTGTCTTAATTCAAATACCTAACTCTTTGTGCTTTCTTTTAAGGTTTGTTTTGGAGATACCATGATTTATTTTTGGTGCGGTCTAGACTTTTTCTGATAAATCATTTAATTATTTTATTGATGGAAGAGTAGATTATTTACACAATTTAAAATAATATATAAAATTTACAAAATTACGTAAATTACAAAAAAAAAAAAACCTAATAATAGTATTATTATAAATAAAATTCTATATTAAAAATAAGTGATTTCAATTTACATTAAAAATTACACCTTTTTTCTACTTTGATGAAATGGTGATTTGATTATTTTTTATTTTTTATTTTATTTTTTGATGAATTAACTTAATTTATGCATGGAGTGATCATTGTTAAAATTCTTTCAATTGTTTCATTCTTTTGTATCAAGTTAACCTAGCTCCGTGTGCCGATTGAAATCTTCGTCCGAAATCAAAACACCGTGTACCAAGCTTTATAGCTTCATCATACTGCAATCAACTTGCAGTACTTAGGCGTAGGCCTATTGGCAGTGACCTGCTAATTCTCGTTAGGATTCCCTTCATTGACAGTGACCAGCTTCAATGATTAACTTTGATGCAAAGAATTTCGCAAAAGAATATGCATTTAATATATGCCACAGATTGTCGGGAACAAAGTGTTTAGCTTAAATTAACTAATAATTAAAGCAAGATTTGGGGTAGAAATATTGTCCATATAAATAAAAATCTTATGTATTAAATAAAACTTAAAGCTTAGAAAACTTAAATTATAAAATATCGATAGAGAAGTTCCTCAACTCCTGATAATTTAATGCCATGATAAATAATCATTATAATGTTCTTCAATAAAACAGTTCGGGGTTTCTGATACAATGCAAACGGCAGGATTATAATAGGATTCATCGATAATGGTTGGAGAAGAATTATTCTCATCTGAATTTTCTTGATCGTTGAAAAGTGTTGCGCAAAAATTATCGGCGAATGTATTTGTTGGTAAATAAACGTGAGTATTGCTATTATAATTGGATTCGAAAAACGAGAAATCCGGACTTCTCGGACTAATTGGACTATTGTTGATTGTATTGTCGGATTCATAGGTATCTGATGACGTAGATCCAGGAGAAGCGGCACAGGTCATGTTCATGTATGGAATATATTCTGAATAATTTGGTGGTTGCCAGGCGGTTATTAAATCTGGAATTGAATTATCTTGTTGTTGTTGTTGTTGTTGTTGTTGTATCTCTTGATTCACTTCGACGGGTTCTTGCTTGATGTACTTTTGTTCTTCAGGTTCTGGTGAAGTTTTTTCTATTGACTTTGGACCAAAATTCTCGCAAACAATTCGATAACCTTTAATCGCTTTTCTTTTTTCCGAAAATTCTTTATCGATCTTTTGAGCCATAACTTTGTAAGTCTCCTTTACTTCTTTACTTTCTTTCTTCCATGAGGAACTGGCCCACTTGGAAACTTGAGTCATTTTAAACTTGTGCTGTTCAATTAATAATTGTTTGACAAATGCTGTCCTATAAACGAAAAATGAATTGGGACTCTTGATGTCAATCTTTGTTTTAGGTCTGCTTCGCACGAAATCTTCCGCGGTAACGGCTGGTGGCCAAGGAAGTTTAATTTCAGGTGGAGCCTGAATGATATCATTGGCCAAAGGATCGATCTTACGGGATTCATTGGTCTTTGAACGTTTTTTAATCGGTCGTGGCATGATTATTATTATTATTATTTTTTTTTAAAAAAATTATTTTTTATTATGAAAAGGTAAAAAAAAAAAAAAAAAAAAAAAACCGAATTTCATTGATTATTTTATACTTTTTCGTCAATATGAAAGGCGCTGTGGCTAGTGCGATTCAATAGATACTCAATTCAGATTGGAAGTTATTCGTGGAACCATTCGATAACCGAGAAATTTATATTGATTGTACATTATAAGAATCTGTAACACAACCTTCGAATGATCATCCCTTCATTCTCTAATAAAAAAAAGTTTTTGTGTTGTATTTTAATTTATGAAGACAAGCCATCGGATTGCCACGTTATGCGCGGCAGTTTATGACTTCTTTTTCCTTTTTTTTTTTTTTTTAAAAATCACACATTGCAAAAAAATTTCTTGCAAAATAAATCCATTCAATTAATTTTTTTCTTTTTATTTTTTATTTTTCAAATTTTTTTTTTTTTTGTGGCTGAAAAAGTGACTCCGTAATTCATTCACATATCACGACAGACTTGTGATTATTGAGAAGGAATTTAAATAAGTACTTATAGGTAACATATTTGATGCTCCGTCTACTCCGGCCTTTATTTAAGATAAACAAGCGATAATGCAAAAAGATATCAGAATATTGTGAAAATTATGCAAAAAGTCGATATTCTATTCTTTACATCTATAAAATTTCATAAAGATGTGTGAAATTCTTTTTAGATATTGTAAATACTTTATTTGGTTATCTTGAAAAAACTAATATATTTTGATCATAAAAACCCCAAAATCCTCAGACACCTATAACCGGTAAGATGGTTCTTGATAAAAATAACTACGCTATTTGCGAGTTTATCCGTAATTTTAGGAAACATTATGTTATAAATCTCACACAATAAAAAAAATACTTTTTTTTTTCGCGAATGGATATATTAATAAAAAAAAGATCTATCCTTGTGCAGCTAAAATTACAAATGGTAATTTGTTTGTTACGCGTACCCATGATTCGTTTGTCTTCCCTTATCAGAATGTACTCACTATGTATATAGGTTATATTAAGAGTGAATTGTATATATATATTTATACATATAATCGCGTAATGAAATAGATTTAAATAGAATAGATTTGTAATTGATTGTTACATTTGATTTGTTTGTGATTCACGTACAAAGAATTATGTTGTGTACTTTTTAATTTGGCTTTTTTCGCGGCAAATTATAAGTCCTTACTTTAATTGAGTTTTACTTTATTTTATTTTTTTAATGTATCCCAACTGAAAAGATTGATAAAATTACGTCTTCAATAGTACGAAAGCCTTATTGCTATATTGAATGATTTAATCCCTTGGCAAAGATAATTGGATATAGATAAGAGATTTCATTACAGACAAAGTACTAAACTAATCCAAATCGTCCGACCAACGTCATTTTATTATTAGCTTTAATCCATTATAGTAATTTGAACTTTGAACTCTTCTAGGACTTTCGAAATAATGTTTCACCTAACTCATGCAGGTTTGTAACAAGTTGGAATCATGCCCCAAAATTTAATGATGTAAACATGGACCCTTCAATCAACTTAATCTAAAAACATGAGACCTATTCCAAATGGGTAAATCTTTTCTTCAAATCCTGCACGAGAAGAAAAAAATGTAAAGCTCGGGCTAAAAATGAATTTTTTTTTGCTTATCATATTATTTTTAAATTTTTTTTTTCTATTTTTTCATTTATTGTTATTTATTTATTTATTTATTTTTGATTTTTAATACAGCAGCAAAGGAGTTCTAAGGATTGTTGACTCACACTTGGATTTCATTGCATGCCCATATCAAGTTAAATTCGAGTATGTGGTATATTTTGATATGCAATGAATTTTAAAACGGTTGTGAATTGTTACAATGATATGTAACACTGGAAATTTTGAATAAACTGCCTGATAAAGAGGCCATTTGATTTTTCCGATTAAAATAAAAATATAAAAGAACAATAATAACAGGAGCTTCATCTCTTGTACATAGAGATGTTCGTATTTTAACGATTTGTCATTGTGTTAACGTTACAAATAATCAAAAGCCGATTTTAACGCCTCAATAAACGACGTATCGTGAAGATTCCTTAAAAAATACAAATTAAAACATGAGAAAAAATTATTCATTGTGAATTTGTTTATGTTGATTGAACCGATAACAGGGGGGGAATTACTAATTACAAATCCTGTTTCCTTCATGTTCAACAGAATTTGAAACCTTTTTCGCACGCTTGTTCTTTATTTTGTCAATGAAAATTACCTTTAATTCTCGAAAAAGCCCACATCTCGCGTTCTACTTCATCATGATCTAACCGCATGAAAATGTATCAGGTACAAAGTAAAAAATATTTTCTAGACAATTGACGCGTGATTCATACTAGCATGTATCCAAAACTATACGTTTAACGAAAATCAGCGCATGTTATTTTGTTTATAAAAATAATATAATAAAAGTAGTAATAATAAATTTATTAATACTGTATATAAAAAAATAAAAATAAAAAAAATTATTTTGCTTGTTATATTACGCATAACGCATATCATTTTGTCCCAAAACACTTTCATTGATATCACGTGAATTTTATTGATTCCAATGTTATACCCATTTGTGACTAGCGTCAAATTAATAAGCATGAAAAAAATTTTTTCCAAATTTTCTAGACAAGGAATAAAGAAAAAAGATAAGAATTAACATCTCAAAGAATTTCATTTTCATTCTAAAAGAGGTATTTAAAGCAAAGTGGAAGGGTTCTGCGTTCATTTTTATTGTAATTAGCAAAGAACAATTAGTATATATTTATTTATTTTACTCGTTTTTATTTTACTTTTTTGAACAAAAAAAAATAATTGGTTAGTATAAAATAAAAATAAGAGTAATATATATATTTTTTTTTTTTATAATAGTCCAAAATTATAAATCAACAATAGCTTTAAAAATAGGTTAATTTGTTCGGAAACAATTCACCGTGATTACCACCATGATTCACTATTTTCGTTTTCATGTTTATTAACACCTAATTTATCTTTCAGCCACAAATTTTGTTAAATCATCACATTTTTTTGGATCACTTTTCTTTTTTCATCTTTATTGGAATTCAATACAACCTTTGACGAGAAAATTGAATTCCGTTTACTTTTTTGTAAAATAAAATAAAAAAAATGCAGTATGGTATGTAAACTAATTTTACACACATGTGCCATGTACGTTGTTTATTTGTTACAAGCTTCAATTCAACACATTTTTGGGATTGTGGGATTGTTTCTTTCAGTTGGCATCATTTGTCGTAATGATTGACTTTTTTCACACTTGTCGGTCGTTTTAGGAAATTCTCAATAATTTGTTTATACATGAATTAAATAAATTCGACCTTTTTTTTTGTTTAGATAATTCTGTTGGTTTCGATTTGTTTGTCCAAAAAATAATAATAATAATAATAAATGGTGCAATGCAAATCTTTTTTTATTTTTATTTTTATATTTTCCTTTGTGGTTCGGGTTTAGCGAAAAAGAGAAAACAATGGCTTCATGTAAACGAATTTTTTTTTTTTGACAATTGCAAATGACGTCAGTTAATAAAGAATGGATTTTCATAAACCGTTTCATTACCTTTGTTTTTTTTTTCTCATTAGCTTTAAAAATAAAAATAATAATAATAATAAAATTTTGCGAAATAAAATTTGCTCATTCTCATTCTCATTCTCATGTTCATGAATCTTAAGTTTATGGCAAGACTGATTGATCAAGAACGATTATCTTCACTTTTCATCATTCGGTTGGGTTTGTTGATAATAGGGTTGGTAACCACCCGGTAGAATATTTTTTCTGCAATAGTTGATAAAGGAAAAAAAAAAAAACTGTCCCTTGAATTTTTTTTCTTGGATTTAGTTCAAACAGCAAAGAAAAAGCGAAATTATGCAAGGAAGCATCAATCAGAATAAAATATTGCCGAAAAGAAATTATTAAACGTTTCGAAATAAGAATTCTTTCCGTCCAAAAAAAATAGAAGTTCGAGTTTCACAAACATAATTAATGTAACATGACGTATGTGATAAATGCATGAATGATAAACCTTAATAGTAACCTTTCGTAGATACCTTGAATTCAAATGTCAGAATATCAACCAACCGACATCGCGGGCATTATGATTATGCGTGGAAACATTCCGAACTGCTTTCCCGTGTCGTCATAATTAAGTTTTAGCGTCACATGACCGTCGTGACCGTCAATTATCAGAAAACTCTCGTCAAAAAAAAAAAGGAAATTTACTTCATTATTTTTAAAGAATAACGGTCATTAGTAATAGCGATTGATTTTCTCATGTTATCACACTGGCACTTCCACTATTCGTAGAGAAATCTTTGATAAAAGTTTTATTTTAGGCTTAAAAAATACAAGCAAAAAAATTCATTATCATCCAAAAATAATAAATTTACTAAATATTATTAAATCATGTGATCGTACTTAATAATAAAAATTTGATTTATTTGATTTTAATAAGCATAATTTATAATATTTCATAAAAGGTTTACAAAATGAATTTGTTATATAACATTAAAAATTTTTTACAAAAAAAAAGATAAAATACACGAGGAAAAAAGAAATATAAAACTATTACTAATTAAATTTCGTTGATATCTCTCAAGTACCAATCTAGAGCGCTTTCTCCGTAAAGCTCTTGATCCCAACTTGACTCGCTCACGGAGGTTTCCAAAATGGCGTCTAGACCTGCGGTTGTGATATAAGTTTGCTTCGAGTCCACAACATTCTCCGGTGTCAGCGGGTTCATATATATTAACGAATTTTGTGGGCTATTTTGTCGAATTCTATTAATTTCCCTATTAACGTCCCGAGCCAATGTCTGGTACGCTTCTTTGACATCAAGTGGCTCGTTTTGCCAATACGTTGAGGCCAATTGGGAAACTTGGGTCATTTGCAAATGATAATTCAGTTGCAGAAGATGACGAGTGAACGCTTTTCGATATATGAAAAAAGAATTCGGGCTACGTCCATGAATGCGAACAGCAGGTATGCTTAAACAATCATTCACGCTTATTATCGGTGGAAACGGAGGTGGTGGTGGAATATTAGGTGTCGATTGGGAATCGTTATTAATTGTTGTCATGATGAAAAAAATAAAAATAATTTTTTTCTTTTTAATAAAGTGAATTTGGTAAGAGAGATTTTCGAGTGATAACCAAACGATTTTTTGAAATTATTTCGAGAGAAAAATCCGGAAAATGTCGAATTTGGAATGTTGAGAATAGATTTCAAACTGGAAGGAAAAAGCTCACTCTTTTTATATGATTTCCAGCTTTATTTTCGGAACCTTTTTATGAATACAAGTGTAAACTGGATGAAACAAAAAATGTTAATATTAATATAATAAAGATATTTGCCAGTTTACCAAAAAAAGAATGTGTTAATTTTGAAGTCAAAAAAAAGTTGAATTGATTTAGTGCATTCCACTTTTAGAACAGTACGCGTAGGAACGCATTGCTTATTTTAGTTAAATTATCGGTAACTCCAAAATCATAATTGGACCGGTGTCCTTTATCCTTATCAAAGCTGCATCATCTAAACGGGATTTGGCATTCCTTGATTTTTATATTGTTGTATGACATTATTAAGGAGGACATTAGAGACGACATAAAGACACAATACACTAGAATGTGTAGATGCAATCTTGATTAAGCATGATTATTTGAAGCAATATAAATTTTCGGGTAAAAAAATAAAGAATAAAAAAAAGGAGATTAAAATGAACTCTTATATTTGTGTATCGAAATATTTAAAGAGTTAATTAAAGTATTTATGAAAAGAAAATTATATATATATATGTAACAATAATTTGTACTTTATAATTTAAAGTTCAAGGCGGAAAATGCAAAATTGGTTAATTTATTTTTCTTTCATGTTACATAAGTTTTTTTTAAAAAAAAGAAACAAAGCCGTCTGATTAGAAATCACGCAACTTTGATATTTGACACTTTTGTACAATACTTATTGTAGTGATTATTTATGTTGTTTATCTTGTTTTGCTTTATCTTTATCTCCTGTAACAACAAACCTTGGCTGTTTTAATTTAAACAAAATGATTTAATATCTTTTTTTATGGTTTGGGTATGGACAAAGAAATTTATGGCGTAAAATATTTTAAAGTTTGCCGTAAAACCTAGTGAAGCACAATGATTTATGACAATACCTTTCTTAGGAAGGAAACTTGCATTGCCATATCTACGCGGTTCATCCGTTATACAAGGGAAATGTGTTTAAGGGACTTTGATCAAGTCTGGCTTCTTACATTCTTTAATTAATCGAAATTGGGTTTAATAGTTTTGGGGTGACAAAACTTAATTATCTTATTCAAGGAAAAAGAATTCCCACACAAACTCGGTGCATCTCAAATTTGTAAGTTTCCACATACACAAATAATTTATTAGAACGTTTGGCTAAAAAAAGATCAAAATTTTGAATATATTTATAGATAGGATCATTCGACGCGTCCAAAGATCTGCCATAAAAATTCCATAAATGTGAAATGTATAAAATTACTTACCATATTGGGATGAAATACTGAATCATTCATTTCATTTTTTAGGGATGTTAGACAACCCTTCGTTGGTATTGAAAGGATATATCAAATATTTTAATAATGAGAATCTCGCACTAGGTTACACTTAAGTTCAAGATTGTGCTAATCTGGTATTCATTAAGAGTCTGTCTCTCTTGGATATAATCAATCAATGGAGATACGGTCATATATTATTATTTATTCGATTGGGATCCTGTCGATCGTATACATAAGTATATGAACATAATTTTCTTTAAATTTAACACTTTCTATATATGTGAACATTATTTGTAATTTTATTGAGATATTTCATTTGATTGGATAACGATTCAACCTTCTTTTGGTAATAGGAATTTTTGAATAGAAGAAGGATTTGGGAAATTTTATAATTTCTATAATAGGAATGAATCACGACAAACAATGGATTTTTGATCAATCATCTCCGGAAAAATAACCCCCTTCTCCATTAAATCGATTAAATCTGCTAGGATTTATTTTTATTTTTTTTTTTCTGGCACCACTCGCATTCAGTCATCATCAATCAATTTAGTGTTCATGTAGAATACATTTGTGTTTCCGGTTATTTTCCTTTTTCTCTAAAAAGGAAGGGTAATGAAAATTCAAATCATTATTATTATTCGAGGTGTTACAGCACTTATTTTTTATTTCTTGCAAAAAAAAAAAAAGATCTCTCCGATTAGAAATTACATTGGTTTGAACTTTTTTAAATTTTATTAAACTCCATTTTTTGGTATTGTTTGTCTTAAAAAAAAAGGGTTATATGACATGCATGTGTGAGATTAGGTCGTGTCATATTATTCCATATTATTCGCAGTTTATTTTTACATGTGAAGAATTTGAAATACTTTATTCAATACATGGATGGCATCATTGGATATCATGGTAACATTGAAGAGAACCAATTAATTTCAAATAATTTATTTAAATTAATTAAATTTAAGTATGTAAAAAATTTGATATTTTTTTTAAAAAAAAAAAACTTGCAACAATGATTGGTATCTTGCTTTTGGTCCTTTTTTTTTTAAAAAAAAAAAAAAAGAAAAAAGAAAATGAAAAATGAAAAAATAGTTTTTCCAATCATAAACGATAATATGCACTTCGGGAAAGGTAATAAATTTTTTGAAATTATGATAATACTCTGAAAAATAAATAATATACAATAGTCAATAAAATTGGTGATTAACGAATAACATCCTCAAACGTCACATTTTACCGCCACAGTTGAATTGAATGCATGATGGTAAAACGAGTTTCAGAAGCGGGAATTTATTGAGAAGAATATTCGAAACAAATATATATGATCATCATTGTCGTGATGTGTATTTATGTATTATGCGCTGCAAGCCTGCACCTAAAAAGCCTCAATAAAAAATTTTGAACATATTCGGAAAATCAATTCCATAACATTCTATTTTAAGCTATAATAAGAAACCGGAAAATTATGGCTCCTGAGTTTCAGATTTTCCTTAACCATAGAATTCCATCAGTAATTTTGTTTGTTTTTTAAATATTAAGGTTCCGCAGTAAAAATCAAAACTTTAAATTGAACTAAATTATCTTGAAATTTATTGGAAAAAAAACCCGCTTTTTTTATGGTTCTCTTATTATTATGACGAGAGTGTGTTCTATTTCCATATGGGGTAAACACATCATAAATTATTTATATTAAGCTAAATGGTATCTCTCCGAAATGAATAAATTTCTTTCTCCTTCACTTACTGTCACTTACATATTGCCATTGAAAATTCACAATTCTTTCATTAAAAAGGCAAATTACGAATGTACCTTATTAAAGAATGAATTCGGAAAATCTTTTAGACATATTCCGTCCGAGCATCTATCCCTCTTCTAACGTCGTCTCCCTCTCCACCCTCCCTCGCGTTATACTTCCCTTCCCGCCAAACATTACTGCTTATGAGATAGCACACAAAAGACGTCGATCGAAAATTTGTTCAAAAACGCCAAATGCATTTTTCATTTATAGGAAAGCATTTGTAGACCACTTGTCACTTTTAGACCATAGGCTTAAGATGACAGAAGTTTCAAGACTCGTTAGCGACCATTGGAAGAATGAAAGTCAAGAAGTCAAAGCGACCTATGAGAAAATCTCCAAACAGGTTGAAAAAGAATTGAATGATATGAGAAACCGGGATTTGGTTTATGTTGAACATAAGGTCGTAAAGAGAAGACGACAAAGAACCCTTTATAAAAATTCATTTTCAACCAATGAAGCTGTTTCGGTTGAACTTCCTAGAAATGTCACTGGAGAAAACCCTAATATATACCATTTTAAAGATGATCTTAACTGTGAAGAGTGTTTGAATTTGAATTTGATCTCTCTTTGCTCTTCTAAAACTAATCAGCGAATGAATGATTCACCATTAGACGCTCACCCAAAGACAAGTTCACAATCAATCAGCAACAATTCACATATTTCCTACTTTAATGATTACTTTACAAATCAATTTCAACAAGACATTTATGGACCTTCATCTGAATTCAATAATGACAGTAGTAATAAAGAGACCAATGAAGGTTTTCGGTTCGAAGAAGATAAATTAGAATGGTATTTGGGTTACTATGAAGATTTCAAACATTAACTGGAATTTTTGTTGGTTTTTTTTTTTATCCAGATTCATGTGAAAAAATGACTATAATTTTATGATCCCACTCTCAATTAACCTGTATAGAACTTGTTTTATAATATCTATGGATCTTTGTTTATGTGTGTCTATGGTTTCTAGTTTCATTTTGTTTATATTTATAATATATATAATATATATATATATATATAAGAATTTGTGCGTTTGTATGCTTTTATATGCAAATATTTTTTTTTCACATGATAATTAATTATATATGTATTAGGTATGATAATTTATTGAGTAAATAAATACTGTATGGGATTATTTTCCTCACTTGACATGGTAATTAATACTTTAACAATTAACAAACATAAAAGTTTCGAATTTTCTCAGAATAAAATTTTCATCGTCTCAAATCCTAATATAAAACATACTTGATTGTTTACGGTCTTACAAACTCACGTTAATTTATTCGTGGGTTTTTCGGAAAATAAATTTTTTTGCATGATTGTATCTCCTAATCAAGCACGTTAAATATATATGATGAGAACGTGCCGCTTTGGTGAATGAACTTATTCTATAAGATTTTCTTAAAGTAACTTTGTAACAGGTATCTATCTAGTTTTACGGGGAATTTCGGAAGATTTAAGAAATGTTTTCGAGGAACACAAAAGTTTTTTTTCCTTTTGGTAATTCGTTTTTCGAACGCATATTGTAGATCACTATCAAGTCATTTTGATCCAATTTGGGACATAAAAAATGGCTTGTAAGCCCAGCAGATAATTTGAAATATGTTTACATTATCTTTAATATTATTTTATTATCTTGGGGGAAAGGAAAAAAACGAAAATTACCAAAAAAAAAATAAAATAAAATTTTAATTTAAATAGACTTTTTCTTCATGTTTTTCTTAATTTCTTATTCTTATTTATATATATATATATCTATCTTGTTTTTGGTCCATTCTGTTATAAATTATAAGGCAAAAAAGCTACATAATCGAAAAATCGAAAAATCGAAAAAGAAAGGAGAATCATATTTTTTTACGTAAATATATTTATAAATTATTTCTAAATAATATATTCGAATTAAAATTCGAATCGATTTGAAAATGGTAAAATGGAGGTTGCATTTCGTATGACTCGAAATTCCAATTATAATACGGGATAGCTGGTGGATACATTAAAGGAAGGGGAAAGTACGAATTTTCTGGAGCAATCGGATCATTTATATCAATATTTTCATAATTATTATATGGATCATGAGGCAAATTTTCGAATTCTTTTAAATAATAATCTATAGAAAGTTCTGGTAAAATCGAAGGTGATGGTTTTTCCAACCTTTGAGATGTTATTTTCGGAATGGCTTTCATATTCCATTCAATTCTGTCTTGAAGTGAAGTTTCCTCGCGTAATTGTAAGAATAATTTGTCGACTTCTGTGGCCAATTGACGATAAACGTCTTTAACATACTTTGGCTCACGATTCCAGAAATGGCCACAAATGGGCGAAATTTTCTTCTGCTGGAACCGATGTATTTTTGCCACTTCTTTAGAAAAAACTTTACGATATATCATAAAAGCGTTTGAGGACTTTGAAGGTTTTTTACCCTTCTTCTTTTTCATAGAGACCACCTCATGAGCCGTGATTCTTGGTGGGAAGGGTAATTTGAAATCTGCCAAGTCATCGGAACTCTTCTCATTAGACTTTGGCATTTTGAAATTATGAGGGGAACTTGTTTCCGGCTGGAATGTTCATCGTATGGGAGACCTTTCATATTTATAAGCTTTCCAATTCAAGGCTTACATAATTGTGTTCATCATTTCGTTGATTATCGCGTTCATCTGTTTTTTTTTATTTTTAACTTTCTGGGAAACATGCGGATGCACAATCTTTTATTAATAAAAAATTTGTAGCTAATAAAGTTAAGGTGGTAGAAAATAAAGGAGGATAAATAACAATCGCGTGTGAATGATTATCTGTTTTGCATGAAAGGTCTTTGCGCATGTAAAACTGAAATCCTAATACCCAATTCAGACGACAGGCAATGCAACTTACAATAAATTTGCATGAAAGTCGCGTTGTGAACCCAATTTAACCAAACCAATGAATGAATCCTAGAATTTGGTAAATTGAATTAAAAACTTTTTTATGGCATGGAAATGACATATCATGTTGCCAACCTGCTTGCTTGAAAGATTAAAGGACATAAAGGAGTGACATTTAAGAATCGCACGATGGATTTTCTTGGATAACGATTATAAATAACCATTCCATGACGAATGATTCAACCACCTCTGTTCTTTGCTGACGAAATCAATTTAATTAATTTAATTAATCAGAATGAATTTACGGAATGGATCAATCCTATCGGCGCATCAAATAACTTTTCGTTATTGGGAGGTTACTTTTTTTTGTTTTGCAATGATTTAATTTTTGTAAAATCATCATTGACTTATTTGGAACGAAATAACGTTCTTTGTGAACAATCCTTTATTGGTAATGATCCGTAAAACTTGTTTGCGACAATGATAATCTACTGCGCCGTGGCGTTTAATTTTTTTAAAATTTAGAAACAATAGTAACAATCCTTGTGTCCTCATAATAGTAAAAAAAAAAAAAATCCATGCAATAGCATTTATCATATAACTGTTTCTGATCATTGTATAAATTGTATAATAACGTTTTGCATTATATTCAAAAATACCATGTAGGAAAATAAAAAAATCGAAACGTCTAGTATTATACAATTTAAAAAATCCGACTATATTTCCTAGTACTGTAATACTGAATTTGCTTTAAAAAGAAAAAAATTTTTTTTTAATCGGATCATATGATTTATTATGTCTCGTAACCATAGCAAATGATCAACCTTGAATTACCCCATGATCAATAAATACTTTTTGTTGCAAAGGGCGAGATAATTAACACTATACGTGTAGTGTTTTATAATGGTTTGACCTCAACCTTAGAATTGCCAAAAGAAATGCATTGTATTCAATTCGATTTATTTTTACACTTAACGTCTGCATATTTTGGATTTGCTTGGCGCATGGGAATCGGAAAATTCGGAACAACTTTTGGAAATCAAAGATGATAATAAATCACATCATTTACGTTATTTAATGATAATCAAGAAGTTATACGAATTTGAATCAATCCTCTTTCTAATTGCTTCTTAACTCTAATTAGTTTTCTACAACCATTATATTATCCTTATTTAGCAATTTATCATAGCAATTAAACAACTCGAAAAAGGATTACAATAAATATGCCAAAAAATAGCGCAACGTTCGTACAAATATCGCACTTGTATTTATTTCATTATGCGAATTACTAATTTAAATTGTAGATTACATTCGAAAATTGATGCCTGAATAAGGAATTTACCAGATTTTTCTAAAATAGGAAAATGCTTGCTTCGCGAACGTTAGATGACATGTAGTACAATATGCGTGCTATATTGGCAGTTTTTCAAATTAAAAAATATCAAAATTTATATTATTTTAATTTTAATAAAAAATTTTGATGCAAATGTATTTTAAGAGAAATATATAAATCTAAAATATCATAAGAAGTTATAGTAAGGTTACTAGTTTTTGTTGATATTAAATTAAAATGCAAGATTTTTAATTTGTCAAAAAATTTCTCTGACTTGATTTTCCTCCATAATAAATTTATTTTTGTTATGTATTTATTTCAACAATGTATTAACAATAAAATATAGGTTAAAAGGCTATAAATAATATAAGCGTATATTTTTAAAAATGCAACTTTTTATTATAGATTTTCGAAAATTCACGTGATTTATTAGACAGACTTTATAGAATCACATGATTCGGTCTTTGAAAAAGATTTTTTTTTTTTTTGATTTTTATTTTTTTTGATTTCTTGCTTTATAACATTACATTACATTATATTATTATCTACTTTTGAAATTTTCGTTTCGATATTAGAGATTAAGGTCGAAATTTTTTAGAGGGAATATTACATTAGGTTTGCTAACAATATAAAATTCGTATTTCCATATTTGGTAAAAATTTTTACATATGTTAGGGATTGACTGACTTTTTATTTTAAAATGCAACGCCATATAATATTGTCGGTTCCTCATGTTCTTCATTTTCGGGATAGTTATCAAAATCTTCAGTGTAAGTTATAGATAATCTTTCATCATGAATAACGGTTTCAGATATCATTGATATCATTAACGCATCATCATTATTATCTTCTCGTTGTTCGATCCCTATATCAGAATCAAGGAATTCGGTAATATCGTTACTATCTTGATAATAGCTTTCGTAAACATCGTATAAAGGATTTTTATCTCGAGATTCTTGTTGCAATTCATGAACGTGAGTTCTGCTTTCAAATCCTTGTTTTCCCATTTCATGATTTTTTGATTCAACATTTTCCATTGTCAAATAAATTTGCTGTCGTGGATTCTCTTGAATTTCCTCTACACCTTTATTATCGTCAGGAGATTGGTGTACCGATAATGCCCAATGGAAAAATGTGCTTCTTTTTGAGAAGTCAATTTTTCCCATTTCTTCATCATTTCGTTGAACGTCTAAGGTAGGCAATCTTTCATTCGTTCCTTCATTATTAATCTTGGAGAATCTTGTTTGATCAGAATCTGCTGCGATCGTATAGACGAGAATAATTTGAATGATGGCTCCGACAACGTAAATCACAATCGAATCAATTTCAAACATATCAAATACTTGAATCATATTTAAGGCGAAACATAAATGTGATAAAACGGTGAAAGTCAACCTAATAAAATTTAGCCCCATTATTGAATTACTTATGAACCCTTCTACTAGATTTTGTTTGAAAAAAATGTTTACAAGACGATAAAGAACGTAAATATCAATTACGAACTCATAGATGATTGTACCAAAACTCGTGATTGAACAATATAATGAATTATGATCATTACATTTTTGAGTATCTTGATATATTATTACAATGGAATTTTGCAACGTTATATCCGTAACCTGTTAAATTACATCGAGCATTAGTGAGGGTGGCATTGTTTAAAGGAAATTGTGGAAATGATAATCAAATTCACTTACATAAAAGCAGATTAAAATGAAAATCAATATGACACCAACGCTTTGCTCACATTTATTCGTCATGATTTGCCTTGGTCTCCCTATCATAAATAGGATTAAAGATACCTTAAAAAGTATGCTTGTACCTGACAAGACGTAAATAATTATTTTGTGCTGATATGTTGATGGATTTAATGATAAAATGAATTCCATTATTGATTTAAGAGACCCGCTCAATGTAAATACTATTTTAATGAAATTTGACGCCTTTTTCCTTTGGGTTTTGAATCTTATTATGGAAATGAATGAATTATGTAAATAAGCCTATATAGAGAAGAATATCAATTAATTTCCTTGAACTTTTTATTTCCATTTTTCAATTTTTTTACCGTACCATGAATGTTAAAGAAATAAATGATACTATAATTTTGATTCCTAAGGATGCATCCGGCTCCATCTTTTAGGTTTTAATTATAATTGGAAATGAATGTGTGAAGGTTCACAATTTTTTTCTTTTATTGAAAGTTGTTTAATTTATTTATTTTTTTTTGTTTGGTTTATATATCAACTGAATTGAGTACATTGAATCAAGAAATAGAAAGGATTGTCGTTATTAATCTTCCATTCTAGGAAATAAATAAATAGAAACTCGTTTTGATAATAAAGGTTGTTTGTTAAACTGATAAATTGCCTATTACACAAACAGTACTTTGTTTGTTATTATTATTTGGCAATTTTTGTTTGCATATGATGACATGACTTTGCTGCGGAATCAGAAATGATAGCCCATTTTGAGAAGTAACTTAGAGACCGAGGTAAATAAAATCAGACCAACCGACAAAGGATAGTCGATAATTAATCGGACCTTGCCCATTAGAGAGGAGGAAATCCAGAGCCAAAATTTGAAACGTTTAAGAGGTTAGTGAGTGCTGGGAAAATGGACCAAATTGATTTTTTTTTTAAAAAAAAAGTTCCTTAGTAAAATAGATGTAGATTTGGTCATCTGATTCAGATCATTTGTTATTTCAAAAAAAAAATTTTTGTCGATTTGGTCCTTTTCCCAGCACTCACCCCATATTATTCTTTCAAAGTCAACTTTGCATAAATCTCCATTTTCCCATCACGTCAAATAAATCGATGAAGTTCCCTTACTTTTTCTAATATGTCGTAAAAGTGAAAATATCATTAGATTACGATATATAATATATACAGTATATTCTTCTTTTCCTTTCTTTTTTTTTCTTGTTGTTATATGGAAATAAGAAGTTATTGAAACTTACCTCTGCCAAGTTATACAAGTTATAGCATCAAAAAATAATGGGAAATCCAGATAGAATGAATTCATCAGTAACTTTGCTGAGATCTTTTGACCGAATCCGACATCTCCATTTAGCAGACCCGTTTCGCAAAAGATCCAGTATACACCCGGATGGCAAGGTACACGACAACTTCGTTGAACGAAGCGACCCCGTCGAATGCTCTGCTAACTGCGCCTCCCTTTAACATTTGATTGATATCGAAATTGTAATCAAGTATTAATATGAATTCCAAAATTATACGAATCGTTATAATTGAATTTACTGTTTTGCAAAAATAAAAAAAATGAAAAATGTACCGTTAAGCAATCAAGAAAATGTTAATCGTCAAATGGCGATTTCGGTAAATGGCGTGCCACTTAAACGCCCGTCGGGGATTGGTTAAAGGTCGACCAAAACTTTGAATCAATGAAACGGACAAAAAAAAAAAGGTGAAAAGAAATATCATTTCTGACAAAGTTGAAAGTTAAATTTCTAATTAATGGTGTTCAAAGAAACAAAATGTGGAAAAGCAGAGATATCAACCATACCTCAAAAAAGTCTCAAGTTGGTTAGCATTGTGTAAATAAACAGAAATTTATCTTACGAACGGTAAGGTTCCAGACAAGATTCAAAGGTGCGAGTTTCAAGAATGTTGTGATAAACATTTAATTCTCAGGTTGATGTTGAAACCTTCGACGTAGTCCAAGTGAAATTCTATGTTAATAAACAAGGTCTTGAACAATTCAGTAAAATATAAATATTTGCTGAACAATAATTTCTTGATAAAAAATAAAAATAAAAATAAAATAAAGAAAAATAAGAGAGAAAGAATTAGTTATTAGCGTTTCAAAATCTCTATTCAAATATGAACTTTATTCGATGAATTTCTTACAATGTATGACGAAAGGTGTAGAAAAAAAAAAGACCCCTAAATAGTTAATAGATACCATTTTCGGCTTATCTACGATCATTGTGACAAATATTAAAATATTAATAAATCGATATGAAACTTCCTTTATATCAATTTCGATAAAATTTTATGCCATTTCGCCTTTAGAAGAAAATTTCGCTTTCAGAATTTGGCTCCATGATTCCAAACTTGAGGGATTTAAATGTTGAAATAAGGCATGTATGATGATGTAGGAACAAATTCTTTATATTTCAATCTAACACACGATTTTAGCAATGATGAGCATTGAAACTTTCATTCTAAGGTGCTTAAACGGTAATTTTTAAAGTTTGAAAGCAAACTTTTTTTTTTTAAAAAACGTTTTTATTTTATATTCGAAACAAACAGAAAAAAAATTAATCAATCAGCCTTAAAAGATTTTTTTAACGAAAATTTAAACGAAATAAAGTGAAAGCGAAAAGGAATCTGAAAATGGTAACATTGTATCTTAATTTTTATCTTAATTGTGTATACCTATATATATATATATATTTTTTATCTTATTGACTATCTTAATTTGTTTTAGTTTAGTTTTTTTTCCTTTTTTTTAAAACGATAATTTTTTAAATGAAATTAATTCGTCTTTGCCAATTTTTACGATAAAAAAACAAAGAAAATAACTCCGAGAATAAATATGCGGAAAATACGAAAAAAAAAGTGTAAATTATTGACGAACGAAATTAGAACAAGTAGTTTACGGTATTACTAGGTTTGTTCATTGGTTCCCATGATCAACATTTTCAAAAGGAACGAAAAAATAATTGTATTCGGGATAATAATAATAATGATCGGGATGATAAAAATAATTGCTTTGTTCGAAGCTACTATTATAAACCATAGGGAATAATGGATAGACATTTGAATGTTCGATAGATGGTGGATGCATTACTTGGTATTGGAAGTTCAAAATAGGGATCGATTCTTCTGGAATAATTTGTGGATCTTGTTGGAGCTCATTACCTCCTTCAGCATTAGTGGATGTTGTAGGATTATTGTTCTTGGGAACTCTAGGGAATCGTTCTGGAATCAAAAAGAGATTTTGCCTTCTACGACTTTCTAAAGCCTTTTCCACTTCACCAAATAATTCCTTATAGACATCCTTTCGATACGCGGGCTCCTTTTTCCAAGAATCGCTTATGTGTTTTGATAAAGGTCTCATTGAAATATTTGGTAAAATTTTTTTTAATGCTTTAATGTAATTTATTCTATAGAGGAAGAATACATTAGGCGGCCTCGATCCTAATTTACGCGGGTTTCTTCGCGCCACAATCTCTTCCGCCGTAACCTGCGGTGGAAATGGAACATCAAACTCTGGTATTTCTTCTATCATGGGTTCATTACGTCTTTTTTTCATATTTTCGAATGGGATAATGAGAGTGAAATATGAGTATTTTCTTTTATTTTTTTATTAGATGTGAAAGGAGGTGATTTCGAAGTCGGATATTTTTTTTATCACAAGAGAGAAGGATGAGAATGATAGATATTTATATTGAAGAAATCTCAAGATTTATCTATGGAATTAAAAACTCCGGTTATTCTGATTATAATCTAAAAAAAAATCAATTTGACGTAAAGCAATTTAACTATACAAAAATTCCAAAAATGAAAGGAATTCTCGTCACGAATGTGATCGATATAAAAAAAATAAAATAAAAAAAGAATAATCTGTTTTAATATACAAATAAAGCTAAGATGACGGAAACTTTGCCCCGTCGAATAAAAATCAATTGTATTCAACGACCGAATTTGACAACAATATATTATTTAATTGTGATCAGTTCTTATCTTTTCAATATCAACAGATTTTCAAAACTATCAATTGCGAATCGTTTAAAATCATTCTAAATTTGTCATACAACGTTTGAACAAATCATCTTTATTCACGTGATGTGTTTTACAAAACGTACTTTAATAACCTACTATATTTGTTAACATGAACCAAATATTTTTTTATTTTACTTTAAACATAAAAAAAAAGATTATCTTGGTTCAATAGCAATATCGTATCTATCTTCTTTATCCGAATGTAACTTAAAACGCGATTCTCTTGTTTATGCATTTTTATGTTTTGTAAAATAAAAAACTTTGTTTGATATAAAAGAAATTGCCGTATATTTTTGTCATTTGACCTTGTTTTACCTGATAAGATCAAAAATATGATTCTCGGAAGATTTCATTGTTCCATAAGGTCGAATGCATTAGCATATTCCGTTAATTTTACGCGCATTATTTTCTTTTACATCTCAATTTGTGGGGATGCACCTTCATGTTAAAGCATTGTTACATCAATTTGTTAACAGTTCCAATTAATTTTTTCATTTTCATTTTTTTTATGCAAAAAGAATGTAATAATAACGCACATTAATCAAATGTGTGAAATCAATTCTACCTTATTATCGTCCCTATTCGAAAATCTTATCTTGTTGATCAGAAGACGCGTTATGAATTTTAAAGTTTGTGATTAGTTACACTTTATTTTTAAAGAATAAAGGTTCAAGAAGGGAAAATCTACGTGAACACAAGGAAGAAATGGGTAAATTGAATTAGTTGGCGTATGAAATCAAAATTTCATAGTCATAATGGATTTTCTTCCACCTGACGACAAAAACAAAAAAGTTAATTTATACAAAAAAAGGGAACTGGATTCTTTTATTAAGCTTAATTTGTTCTGATCAAAGACATTCATCATACATAACAAATTAACACCGTGTTGGATACAAAAATTAAGCGTCATTCATTTATACTATTTTATCGCGAATTCCTTTGATTCAACATGTAGAAGATGCATTGATTTCGTTGATTTCGATATTAATCGTTAGCGCGTTTTGTGATGTCGTGATCTAGGATTAATAATATAACCGTTTATGTTCATATTGTTTCCCTAAACTGAGCAATGAATAAAATGGTATGTTCTTTGTAAATCTTTTTTTTTTTTTTTTTTTTTGAATTATTTTACTTTTGTAATTTAAAATGCATAGTCATTTAAGATGTCGGCATTTACCGTTTTCGAAAGTCAATACGCGCAATAATACTCGAAAGTTCTCGTATCAATGTGAAATTTCCAAATCAGTCGTGATAATGAAAATTCGATTTTGCAAAGATTTTAGATGCCTTCGCACTCACATTACTCGGAGTTTTCAAACCTTCACGTGTCTAAAAATGTTTAACAGAATGAACGACAAATGATGTAAGATAGAACCTCTTCTTTTCCAAATTTTCCAAATCCTTTTTCATTTTTAGAATTTTAAATTACATAACTGATTGATTGATGTTATCATTGGTCGTCATGACATCACAAAATTCCTTTTTTACATTTATTAATTTAATCTACGCAAATTTCTTCCAAAAAGATTTTCATTTCAATGAATTTCCAACTTATCTTTATCAAAATAATCGTCTTTTTGAAATGCTAAAAGAGGGATTTATAACGGGATAATTTTTTTTTTTTAAAATCAGGAATTTGTGACGCGAAATGGTTACAATTTTTGTGCGACTCCGATTCGTTTGATAAAAAAGTATGCTTGAATCATTGTCTTGTTCTACATATTTGTTTTGAACAAAGAGGGATCCACGACACAACCTATAATTGTTTACGATATAATAAGAGAATAAATGGATTACAAGACCAATTGAAAATTCAGGGAAACATTGGACGAAACGAACAAAGTCACGTGTTACACCAGCGCGCCACAACATAATGACTCAAAAAATTGAAGAAACGTCATAAGTAGATGATTAACTGTGCGGATCTAACCGAAATTTATGGCTAAATCTTTGGGCATAGCATTCTTGATATGTATTATTCTCGAAATTTCGTCATTTTTCAATGAAACCCAATCATAATGTGAGAATTTTTTTTTTTTTTAATATTACGGCTTTAAAATTTTACAGCCATCATTGTTCACAATAATTTGAATGTTTGTTTGCAAAGAACATAATCTGAAGTTTTGAACAATAAACAAAAACAAAACAATAAAATAAATTAAAAAATAAATAATTAACGACCATGGTGGTATCTGTGAAAATTAATTTTCACAAAATTCACAATTTATCAAATTTTCTGATATTTAAAACGTTTTTTTTTTTTTTAAAAAAAAACCATATGAAAATAATATGACAAAATAAAGGTTTATTAGTATAATAAATTACAACATGCATTTTTTTTTTTAAATTCCTTTCTTCCGAATTCTTATTTCGGAAATATGAAACTTGGTTAAGTTTTCGGGGGTAGATCATCACTAATTTTGGTTCGATTGACCCAAATCTATTTTTTTTGAAAGGTGCCACATCTTCAAATTGGAAATTTGTGGCAAACACTCGCAGAGATTTGATATCTTTTAGATTAAAATTAGCCCAAACTGTAAAAGAATGATTTTTATGCCAAAAAAAGCATTTTCCCCACATTCTTGCTTAATAATGGAGATTTTTTTCCGCGTTCACTTACGCTTTACAGATAACATAATGAGTTTCCTTTAATTAGTTTTTATTCAACGTTGTTTACTTAAAACATTTCTATTTTCAAAACTCATGAACGGTTTAGGGAATTCATAATAATTATTTATATCTCTGATGGTTCAATTTGATTCGCGAAAAAGTTGACGATAGTGATTTTTTTCCCCATTCGAGTCATCATTCAATTTATCTTATACGGGGAATTAAAAAATTTTTCCTCCTGTTTGGATTCTTTGGCTTTATTGATTAATAGCGGCATGTCTTGTTACGGTAATAATTAATAGATCTCTTTATCATATAAGAAGTAAATTGATAAATAAGAAAAAATAAAGAGTCATGGAGTGATGATTTTTTAATGTCCTTTTTTGTATACTAACGCTCAAATAAATTTTTTCGGATCCGTTGAAAATTCAAAATACATTGATTAAGGGAGATTTTCTACCCAAACCGAAATTGAAGTCAAAACAAGGAGAATTAACCACAAAGATATCAATTGATGTCAAAGACAAAAAAAAAATTACAGTTATTAATGAATCCATAAAGACGTGACAATATGAGCAATTATGTTCGATGATTCATTAACGTTGCATCATTGTTTATATACAAAAACTTTAATTCTCGATTCGGAAAATTGAATTTTTTTTATTTTCATGTGAATATATTTATACAAGAAGCTTATCGAACTTTCTACCAGAGATATTTTAATAATATAATATATATAGTAACGGGTGGAGAGCAATATCACTTTTTTCACATGATTAATGAATGATCGATTACTTTTAAATATTGTTCGCGAATTTTTATTTTTTTGGGCGATTTTCGGAATATTTTTATTATAATTTGGCGGATAATTTTGCCATAGACGTGGCAAAATTGTAACCAATCACTCATTAACCATGTGATATTGCCACGTACTATAATTCTATTATCGTTCAGTGACCATAACAAAAAGTTTAACAAAAGTCTTTATAAAAGTTTAATTTAAAATTCTTTAATTTAAACTTACTTTTCAATCTTTATTCTTAGAAGAGTCGCCTCAAAGAAAGATAAATATCTTTGCATTAATAAAATTTGATTTTTAATGCATGTACTTTATGAATGCTCCGACAAGACAAGAAATACTTTGTTTAAATCAACAAATAATTCAACCAATACTTGGATGAGGCTTTTCGTCATGATTTGCAATTATCAGGCAAATATAAAGGTAGGTTTCAAGTTGAATTATAAATTTAAAAAATCGGCAAATCAAAATCCATATAAAAAGAAGTTGATCCGTGTTTTGTTTTTCATGTGTTTTCCGTGAATGGCTCATTTTACAGAAGCCACGGATATATTCAGGCAAAGAATTATTTATAGGGAATATTCATATTATTTAATACATTAATGGACATTACCAACTTGTCACCATCCATTCCATTTCAAGAAATTAAAGATTCACAAAATATTCAATTGGATGAAGACTATTAAAAGGAAATACTTTTAATAATTGTTTAATGTAATATTACTTTTAGTATAATAATATGATAAATCATAAATAATTTATCTGATATACAAACTTTAATCAATATAAATAAAAAATATCTAAAATGATAACATGTTATGTTCATATGTAACCGTACCGTACGATATTTGTATATTTACTACATGTAACAAAACATCGTGACATTCGATTAAAGTTGGTATTCCGCTGCACAGTCATCCGATTAATATGTTCAAAGTTTTATCACACGACATCCTCTGCTTTGAAAAAGAAATATAAAAAGCCCATAGCAAGTTTAAATATTGTTAAATAAGTCATATAATGTTAGTTTTTGCCAAGGTAAATAAACCTAAACAAAAAAAAATGAACGAAGCAAAAGCATGATGATGTAAATGGGGGTGAAGCCAAGATCAAACATTGGTCGTATTAATGTGGGAGGGAATTCGGTAAATTCGGTCTTATAACCATCCGACACTTCCGAGTTTATTTATACACGGCAAGGAGAACAAATGATTAAAACCGATCGATAACTTCGGAACAAAAATAATTGGCTTTTCCGATAAAGGATTCTTGGAATCCATTAGAACAAAACAATTACACAAAAAAGTTAATTTTGATAGAATTTTTTTGATCTAGAATTCGGATAACCAGATTGGAATAACCATTCTGCCAAAACTCATATAAGTAGCGAATAAATGTTTCTGACTAATCTATTTTTAATGTCACCCAACATAAAGTCCCATTTTTTCATAATCTCAGTCAAATATTTGATCCAAAGTTCCACATGGCCAGATTAGGATACAAATATTACGTCAATTAATAACAAATGGTCTCTAACCGATTTTGTTTATTCAGCCGAAACCTTGTTTTCAATCAGGAACAGCCACATGAATTACAAACAAAGTAACAAACAAATGCAAGCCACTTTTGTTATGACGCATTGATGCATTGGAGAGAGATCGAGAAGTACTCATGGTCATCGATGCACCAAATAGATTACATTATTGATTTCCCTTCTGTTTCATAAATAGGGAAGTGAAGTATTTTATTTTTTGTAAAATTAAATATTTTTCCTAACAAATTCGCATGAAACTTCTCATTGGTTTTTAATTAAACCACACACTTAAATTTATGCATATCTTACGTCATAACAAAGAGAAGCTCAATTTATTCTTTTGGGTGTAGGTAATCCTTCCATAATTGTTAACAATAGCCACCAGATTGACAAGAAATTCACCTCTTGCATACATTGTGGCTAAATTGTTTAGACGTAAATTAGGAAAAAAATAAATAGTGTGGGGCGTTACATTATATTAATCATTTTATACTTGTATGACAAATCTCAGCGAGAAAAGTTAAATTGATAACACAAAAGATTTATTTTACAAAGAGTTGATTGATGATAAAATATATAAGATTTTTCAAATTTTTTTTTTTTTAAAAAAAAGAAAAAGGTGGAAATATTTCATATTGTAAAGACGTTCCCCCCATTAGGAAAATAAGAAAAGGGAAGGCTTCCCAAATAAAATAAAAAAATAAAAACAAAGAAAATGCGAAACGATAAAAAAAATATCTTAAGAGAAAAAGGTGATGAAGCATATATATTTACATATTGTAAAATGAAAAAAATTCAGATTTTTGTCATAGATTTCTTAGAAAAATTTATACTTATGTTCCATACTAATTAGGGTAAATGTTTTGTAAATACCAATCGAAATCCAGTTTCTCAAAAATGAAATATTCTTGTTCTATAGGCTGACTATATTGTTTCGTATTATTGTCTATTAATTGTAAATTGGATTCCAAATTATTATTATTAGCATACTCATTACACTCGGTACACTCCGGATAATTGATATACTCATTAAATGGTTCGTTAAATTCTAATTCTTGCTGTGGTTTCTCGGGTAAATCATTGAGATCAGATGGTGGAGATGGTGGTGCGATGACCTCCTTTGCTTGCTTTTTGGGAGGCTTTGAAGTAAATTCAACGTTAGGAAATGAGGTGGGTACAAATTGATAAAACACATTTCCACAGTTTTGTGTTGGTTTTTTTGAATTAATCGCTTCGGGCTTACTTTCTTGACTTTTCGCCGTCTTTCCTCGTTTACGAACAGTCGAATATTTTGAATTTTTCCATATAATCCTGTAGGATACCGTTTGCTTGCGTAATTCACTTAATTCGATTTCCACATCTTGCGCTATTTTACGATAAGCGTCCTTCACATATTTCGGTTCATTCTTCCAGTATCCGCTGACCAATTTTGAGACATCAGTCATTCTGAGATTGTGTTTTAAAATTGAAAGTTGTTCTAAGAACGCTTTGCGATAAATCAAAAAGGCATTTGGACTCTTTGATGTAACCTTGGAAGGTTTGCGTTTATTTACAATGTCGGAAGCTTTGATAGTAGGCGGATACGGGAGCAATATTAAAGGTGTTTTCTTGGTAGTTTGAAAACATTTACTTGAACAAGAAGACATGTTGAGCGTTTCGGTCTTTAAATATTCCATTAGACAAAAAGAAAATGAAGAGAGTTGAACGAAAAAAATTTAAAGGCGTGAAAAAAAAAATACGTTAAAGAAAATTTTTGAGAAAATGTAAAGATTTAACCAACTCAAAAATCTGAAGGAAAAATGCTTTCACGAAGGGGATTTTTATAATAATTTTTTTTTTCCAACACCTTTGCCCAGATTAATTTAATATAATCATGTATGCTTTGTCAATCTCATGCCATCATATCAAGAGGCAGTTAGCATATGTATGACAAACAAAGAGAAGATTTGGAAAGTATTAAAAAAAAAAAAAAAAAAATGATGAATTAATCATATCTTGATGTATCAATTAATTTAAACATTTGTTAAAACTGAAAGAATTAATTCAATATTTATTTTTGAATTCAATTGATCCAAATAAAGAAAACAAATCTATTTTAAAACATTTGCGTAATAGGCTCATGTAAGATGATAAATTTTCTTTTTTTTTTTTTTTTCTTTTTCATTTTTCCAAGACGTAATAATTTATGACGATCGTTTTCAGTAACGGAAAAACAGTTCAGCTCAAACAATTCATCATATTACTTGAACATGAGACTTGTTTTCCTACAATTGTTTTGAATTACGCTATTTCGCAGTGTCTCGTCGATCAAGTTTTAATTGATTTTATCTCAATATAGAAAATTTGACATCCGAGTTTACCAACGAAAGTGCTTTTCCCTTAAAGTATACATGCTCTTGATGAGCCACATGTTATTTTTACATCCAAAAAGTAAATTATTTGGTCAATAACTTTTGGTGTGACCGATAAGATATTTTTAAATGTCTAAAATTAAGTACAAAAATGCAAAATGTAATCGATGTGCATTTTGTTGTTCGAATAAGCATGATGCACGTGATACGTATACGAGTGACGTAATGATCTCATTTTCTTGGGTGAATGACAATGTAAAATTATGAAATCGTGCATGAATTCTTTATTTTTGTTTTATATATATATATTTTTTAAGAAAAATTTATTTGTTGCACAAAGATTTGTACAAAAAAAAAATAATAATAAAAATTCAAAATCAAAAAAAGATCACATAAAGAACAACGGGATTACATCACCGACAAATGTAAGTTTTAAGAAGTTTGTACCAGTCTTCAAAAGGAAGAAAAGACGAATTCCATGCAAACAAAATTGATCCACATAAATAATCCATCATTTACTTTTACATCATAACCTTGTTATTTATATTTTCATTCGTTCTTTACCCTCACTGTTACAAGATTATCAGCTGAAAAGAGTAATTAAGTTTAGAAGGTATGGGAACTACCGAATTCGAAATTAATTCTGTACAAAAAAGAAGTAAATGTCGTAAACAAAGCAAATTCTAAACATAGAACCATTCTGTCGCTCTTCGCGTACGGTTCCCCTGATTGATTTACCAACAACTTATAATCGCGCGCATATTTTATTCTTTTAATTCAGCTGCAATTATTCTTGGTTCATTGTTTGAGATTTTTTTTCGGAATTTACATTTCACAGGCATTCTAATTTGGTTCCCATTGATCATTTTAATTTATCTTTTTTGATAAGTGATTCACTTGTAAACATTTTTGTTTTCTTTGTTCTTTAATAATAACATTGTGAGTTAGATAACTTAGATAATAGCATGTAAACTATAAACAATTAAGGGTTTCACACATGAACACAATAAAATAGTAAAATATACACACACATATATATTTTTTTATATATATATATGTAGTTGTTTCATTTTCGATTTAATATCGCGTTATATTTTTGTTTAAACCTTTTTATTAAAAAAAAAAAATTGAAAATGTTATCACCAATCGATCATAGATGAATCTCAAACTATATAATAACGTGTATTTATATATATTATAAGGCGTAAAAAATGGTTTATTTGAATTTACGAAAATTTTAACCCAACTAACCCAACTTGGTCATCGGAGATCCCGCCCGCGATATAAAACATTTGATTGTTTCCCCCCTTGATATAAATATAATATAAACGCGTGTAAACAAAATTTTTAATAAACGTATTGTTATGATCCTCATGATCTTTATCGTAACCCTATATAATCGGAAAAAGTTTTTTTTAGAATTCATTACAAACGAATTGGAACGTTCCCAAATGGGTGTTCATATGTCTATCTAGGTGATTGGTAACATAAATAAAATAATTTAAACGATTTGATATCCGCAGTATATTTAAAAAAAACGACGCTCTTTTTGTACACGAAAGGTACTTTATATGACGCGTATCAAATTTCACTCGAATATATAATATTCACTCGACAATAATATAATGAAGCATCAATTATGGTGCAAAAAAAAAATAAAATAGAATGAATGCATAGATAGCGTTAAAAGCGAAACAGTCTCTCAGTAATTTGATATACTTAAATATATATGATCATATGATTATGTTTGAACATAGTGTAGAAAAATATTTTTTTTTTATAGTCTTAACATTGTATGTAATAGTGTATGCATAATATATATAAATTTTTTTTAGCCAAATTTTGTAACTTAAAATTCTTATTTTTAAAATTCCTTTTCTTATCTTTTTTTTTTTTTTTTTGTAATGAAAATTTCCTTAATGATGATATTCACTAGATTCCTGTAGTGAACTTAAATTTTCATTAACGCATATGCCGCTTAAATTGTTAAGGTTCCAATTATATTGAGGAAGAAAATGGTTATGAAGATCATAATTAACGTATTCCAAGACCTGAGGGTTGATTTGATTTTCGATCGGATCCATTCGAGAACAATAAACCGGATTCAAGCAAGTGTTTAAATGAAAAGCGGGATGATAATCCTCTTCTGATTCATTGGATGGAGATCCGCAAGAGTGGTCATGACTTCCAAAATTACATTCTTGAATCATTTCAGGGAACTCAACTAATGGGTAATAGACAGGATTCGGGGAATTTTCAAAGTCGGATTGCACGTTCACTTTGTCAGTTGATCGCAAAGTCTTTTGATTTTCGGGAATAAAGCAATTTTGAAATTCAAACGTAATCTCTTTTGTGTTTACACTCTTAACTTTGGTTAAAGAGTCACTCGTAGAATTGTTCCTTGGAATTTTTCTTGAGTTACGCTTTTGTTTTTTGGACTTTTTATCAACTTTCCAGACGACCGGGCATACTTTATCATGTTTTCTTTTTTCCTTTAGCTCAACATCAATTTCTTTTGCGATTTTCCTGTAGCCCTTTTTCACTTCGTCGCTTTCATTCTTCCAGCGATTGCTGACCAACTTGGACACATCGATCATCGTTAGTTTGAAATTCAGAAGGGTAAGGTAGTTTGTGAAAGCTTTACGATATATGAAAAATGCGTTCGGACTCTTTCGAAATATTCTTGCAGATGATTCCCTTTTATTAATAAAATCTGAGACGGTAATGAATGAGGGAGGGTAGGGAAGTTGAATATCTTGAGGTGAAAGATGTAAAATGAATTCTCCATTTTGTGAATTAATCAAATGAGTGTTTTCGAATGTCATCTTTACCAACGAATTTTGTCGTCTTTAAAGTAACGAATAAAAATAATGGAGGGAAAAAAAAATCAAGAGGAGTTTTGAATTTTTATGTTTTTTTTTATTGTACTGGCAAAAAAAAAAAATTGTTTTAACCTAATTGAATCCTTTATTAAAGACAACCGTATCGGTGTCTAAACCTGTTGGTTTTTAGTTCGCTTTTATAGACAATAAAATCAGAACGACTGTTGTGTTGTGTATGACAAACAAAAAATATTGTTGCAGATAATCTTTTTATGTAATATGTAATATCCTTCACTTTGCATGTTAGGAAGAAATGAGATTAATTATTTATCAACACACTGACATGATTTTACGCCACTTTCACTGAAAGTTAATTTTTTTATATTTTTTTTTTTTTTTAGTGAGGAACCATAAGTTTTATTATATAAAGATACTTCCCATATTAGGTCCATAATGTTCAGATCTCCCTTTTGCTCTTTTCTGGTAAGGATAAAAGATTTAGATTCGCCATCCAATTGTTTTTTATACAATTAAAAATTATTTGTTTTAAAAAAAAAAAATTTACTATCGGCCGGATCACACACGCCACCGAAGATCAACAAATAGTCACATGACTCTACGATGACTTGTTCGCAGCAAAATAACCTGCTGAGTTCCACTTGTCAAGAGTTTGAACAGAATTTTTAAATTTGGTAGTTTTAAATGATATGAACCCTTTGAAGATTCTGCAAAAAGATTCACAAGTAGCAATGTGATAACAAGAAAAAATAAATCTTGCCCCTTTGCTTGGTAAATAAGAATTAAAATAGAAAATGAGAAGTAACGTGCGTGGTTCTCATAGTATGTTGAAGATCATTTGTAATTGGTTACATAGCAAGCATTCATGACAAATCCAAGTTCCCAAATTGTTTCATGAAGTAAATAAATGCAACATAACTAACATAACTGACGAGGTAAACTATTTATGATCCCTAAAGAGTATTATTAAATTTTGGAAGATCAATAAATTCATTATTATTTTATTTTTTTTTTCTTGTTATCAAATTTTAAAAAAAAAAAAAAAAAAATGCTCGGCCAGATTTAAGGTTGGTAATACTAAATACTAATTTAGCGATCATCTAAAATGGATATTGACAATGAAATATTAAAATTTGATAAATAAGGATAGATTTTTTCGGGTGTGCAACATTAATGTTTCGTTACCGCCACAATCAATTGTCTGAAATTAGTTACATCTCGGTCGTTAATAACCTAACACTGTTATGTTGACGTTGAAATTCGTGAATAATATATGACCTGTGTATTGCATAAGTGTTTACCCTCAAGCTAACCATTAAAATCATCTAGAAACAGGAGAACCGGATATTAATGAAAGGAAACAATTATAAAAACGTGTTTATAATTCATTTTTGAAAATCATTCAATTGCATCAAATGTATCACCCATCTAATGACACTTTGGATCATTACTTTGATGCTACCTCGCATAATGCATATATATATATATATGTATACATATTTTAAAGTGCTAAATTCATTGTCTAAATATTTCATTTTGGTCCATAAATTCTTTTTTGATCAGATTGTCTGATAACTAATGCAATATTTAATTACATAAAGCTTAACCTTAATTGATATTGAAATTTCATTTGAATCTCGGCTATTGATGAATTTAACCTCATTATTTACACGCTTTATTCCCAATTCATTAAAACAAGAGGATTTACCAGCGCGTTGCATGATCACTTATCGCGTTGCTTATCCACTCTTGGAATTACATCATTTGCCTCTTAAATTGTATTACAAAATGCCATGCTCTTTGAAATAATACCTTTTCTTTTATTGTCTTAGAAGAAATCTTAAATTCGAAATTCTTAGAAAAAAGAATTCATGTCTTAAAATAAAACTTAATAATAATCAATGATCAAGATTCGATTGAACTTTAGAAGGCACTTAATCAAACCGGAAAAATAATTTAATGAGATCCGATTCTTATTAACTTGATACTTATTTTTAATGTTATACATACAATGCAATGAAACAAATCTTTTTATTATTTTTTTTTTGTGATAATTAATAATAACCTTATATATCCTTATCTAAATTCTTAATGGTTAAATCCAATAAAATCAACGGATTTTTTTTTTAATTAATTTTGTGTTCGAATCATTTCTTTCAAACTGCCATATCAATGTAATAAAGCTTTTACATGCTGTCGTGGTTAATAAATTTTGTGAAAAATGATAAATCTTGTATGATGCCAAATACATTTAAGATGGGGGAGGCATCCTTCGCAAAATTTCCCAAGGAACGATGGTCGACTGACCAGAAGAAGAAGCTGACGTGTCGTTGTTAGTTCCTTGAGACGATGGTGCGTCACGATTAAGATACCTTTGAGAAGGTACTATTGATATTTGTTCGACTTCCGAATTTAAGGTTGACATGGATGTGTCAATATTCTCAACGTATTGACTTTGATAAGGGCTCAAAGACGGATTAGAATAATCATGTTGTTCGGATGACCTAACGGGTGCGACTCGATTGACGGGAGTTATGTTGGTAAATTGAGAGAGGTTATCATCTAGAGTTGACCAAGATGGTTCAAGAAATTCCGTATAACTTTGTCGTTGCGGATGATATGACATAGTATTCCTATAGTCATAGGGTTCCGATGTTCTCAGGGGTAAGAAATTTTGATGTTCTAAAGTATTAAGGTTGCCAAAGTTCATAACATTATTTCCTAAATTTTCGAATCCTTCAGACATCGTGTTACCTTGACCATATAGAGAAAACTCTTCAAAAGTCGACCGAAAGTTATCTAGCTGAATAGATCTCTCGCCTGTTTGTAATACCGAAGGGTTTAAGGCATCAGACATTCGAAGCAAATGATGCGACATTTGCGATGCGGCGGATAATTGGAGATTGTCCGGATTGGATACAGATAAGGCAGATGAAGATGCGACGGAAATAAAATCAGGTGCAGAATCCGGAGATGTGTAACTTGATTCACTAGATTCCGTCTTTGTCGATTTACTATTTTTCGAACGAGCCAAAATTAAAAATCTATCCGTTTCTCGTGCCAATCTCCTGTATTCATTTTTAACATTAGGTGGTTGTCTGTGCCAAGAAGTAGATGCTAATGTGGATACCTTGGTTTGTCTCGGACGAAGATTTTGTCTTTTAAGTTCTCGAACGAATTCCTTACGATAAATGAAAAATTCATTTAACAATTTCTTGGACGTTTTCTTGTTATTCAAGAGGTCAATCGCCAAAGATCTCGGGTCGACATTTGGTGGAAATGGGGGATTTATGAGAATACTTTGATCGACGGAGTTTCTTGAAGGAGTTGCGGAACTTTCATTTCTCTCATATTCTGAAGAATTACTTGCAATTTCAATTTTTGATCCTTTTTCACAAACGCTGCTATTATCACTTTCTTTATCATTACTCGATATTTGATCACCCATAATTCAAAATCGTTAAAATCTATCAAACTTAACATTAAAGAGGGAACGATTCAAAAAGTATCAATCAAATATATAAATATTTAAAAATATATTTTAATTATATTTTATTTTTATTTATACGTATTAAAAGAGAGGGAGGGAGAGGGAGGGAGAGGTGAAGTATGGGAAATTACAAGATGCACTTGCCATTAACAACAAGATTCTTGGAATCTAACGAAAGTTAGGAAGTAGAACCTGGGCAAATGAGGTGGAAGGGATGTTAAAATTGATTGATACCTTGGATCGCGTTAATGTTATTTTCAAATTTAAATTATAGAATTATTGTTCCTTTTTAATTAAAAAAAAAAAAATTTGATCCATTTCGTCGACCTTTTTAAATACTTTTATAATGAGATGACTTTCGGGATTAGCTAATATGATACGTAAAACAAATCATTGCAAATATTGATAATGATTTCTCATTAGTAACTTAGTGACACAACAAATTTATTTGACGTTCATTGAGGAACTTTATTAAACAGAAATTCTGATCAAAGTCCTTACAAATGATAATCACGGCAAATTGCGGATAATAAAGTCTTACTCATTGTGAACAAAAAAAAAACTTATTGGAAGACTCAATGATCTCTTACCAGTTTCGTAATTGATTCCCTTTTTCTTTAGAGAACAAGTCAATAAAATAAAATAAAATAAAAAATAAAAAAACTAGGTCCTAGACATCCGCGAATTTGCGCTAGCCAAATTCTGTCGTCAAGTGATAATAAATAAAGTCTTTCAAAGATTATAATTCCACGATAACGTTACACGGAATTGATGTGAACATCATAATGAGAAATGGAAGTTCTGAAGGTCACAACATCACCAATAATGGAAATGCTTTAAAAGTAAGTTTTAATATCATGAATGACATGTCATAAAAAATATTTGATCAAAAGGAAAAAAAAAATCTTTGTTTTCTTGAGTTTGCTAACGAATGCGAGCTTTCCGATAGTACGTTTGTCCAAATTTGTACAAAGGTTTCCTTTTTTGTTTACAATGATGAATTTGTAATCTATTTTAATGCCATGTGGTATTTATTAATTTAAGGTAAACGTAAATGATAAAAGGACATTGATGGTTGCATGAAGCATGTAGACTGGCCTTCAATGTTATTTGCATGGAAGAAATTTAAAAATTTCCAAAAAAGAAGGAAGGAAGGAGCGCTATTCTCAATTGTTCATAACCCGTACCCCCGTTACTAAAACTATTACCCTTTACCGATATTTGCGTTTAGTATTTAACATATCTTTTTTTTATTAAAAGGGATAAATAAAGTAAATAAATAATTTATTAACCAAATAAAATCAAGCAAACTCGGGTCAATTTCATCTCGCGAATATTTGATGATTAATATTATTATTTGTTATTTTTGAATGTACTAAATATAGATCTATCGTAATGTTTAAGCGAAAGTTATGGTAAGACTTCTGTACCATACGCATCTAAAAAAAAGGATATTTGAATCGGAGTTGTTTTTCCCATCAAACATATCTATTTCAACAAATAAGGGTAACATACGTACTTAATTAACTCGGATCATGTAAATCAAGATTTCAAATCATTGGGGATCGAATTTGGTGAATAGGGTTTGATGAACGCCATCAATTTTCAGGAGAGCCTTAAAGTATTTTCATGTACTTCATTTCTTGTTCGAAAGAATTTCCGGAAGATTGTAAATATTTGGAGGGATGGACTGGGCAGGTCACACACGTTATTTAACGTTGGTCAACTGATTAGTCAAACTATGACCAGCACTTGGATACCGTCAGGTACAAGATGCACTTTAAAACATACAGTAATATTGTTGTTATTATCCAGAACTAGGCGCATAATGGTCCTTGGCTTATTTCCTTGGAATAAAAATAGGAGTTTATGATGAATCAAAATTTTTTCCACAAGCATTTACAATACCATTCTTGAAATATGAATTTTATGCTGTAACGTAATGCTTTTACGTTTGGAAAGTAACCCTCCCAATTTTATTATTGAGAATTAAGAAAAAAAATTAACGACAAAATCTTTGTATTGTTCCAAATGATTCTTTGTGATGGTATCTAATTGATCATTAACCGGGAACATTTTATCGCATTCATAATTTTCATAATTTATCGTCTTCCTTTCCGACAGCTGATATTGCGTTGTTTTAATTAGCATTAGTAATTATTTTTTCTTTCTATGAAGTGATATTTTTTTAGATGTATTTGAATGCTAGTATCAGATTCCGACTAAAAAAATTAGCATCTTACTATAATAGCGTCGAAAAACCAATAAATGAATTAGAATTTTACTAATCATTTGGAGGGTAACAATTCTGGTAAAAGGCAAAAGTTTTGGTATTTGGAGAAAACATAAATAAATATTCCCCACGGAAGATGAATTGGTTAGAATTCCTTTGACCAAATGTTTTGAAGTACATTTTTCATACTATTTCAAATTAAAAATTTACAATTATAATTAATTTTTTATTGATAAATGAGATCCATAAATCAATATATTCTTTTTTTTGGTTAACGAGTTTTAAGAGAAGATTGGAGGGATTATTCTGGAGAAAGAGCACATTTTTTTTTTCCAAAGTTGTCAAGTTCATGGTTTTCATCTCATTTTAAACCGTACAGTTTCTCAAGTTTAAAATTTTCAATTTGAAATTAGCTGAATATTTTATATTCGTATTTTCATTCAATAAACTTTAAACAGTATCTATATCGTGCATAATAAAGATTTTTTATATCATAATGCATTTTTAGCGTTTTTCTTGCCTAAAATTTATTTCTGACTCCTCTTTTCACAAAAAAATTTATAGTCCTGACATTATGAAGTAGCTTGTGCGTAAAACTGGTAAAAAATTGAATTTAAACATGCGAATCACGTGCCAAAACGTAAATCATACCATTTAACATTCAAATCAAGTAAAAATAATGTGGCTTTGTTTTTTTATATACTCTTAAAGAATTAAAAGAGTCATTTAGGGGAAATAATAATAAATAATCGAGGGGAAATCATGCATCTCTGTCATTCCTTAAAATAGATGAAATTTATTTATAATCCCTTAATAATACTTGTTTAATACGTCATATTTTAATGACTAACATCATTTATTAATTTTTTTATATAGTCAACATACAAAATAGGAGGCATAATTACATAATCAAAATTTACATAAAAAATTATAATAAAAATAAAATAAAATAAAAAATTTTATTCTAATTTAAAATAGTCTTATTATTATCATCTTTTATCGTAGCTATTTGAGGGACCCAAATTTTCTTCGATGAATCATCAGGATTGTCATAATCACTATAATAGTTAAAATTCGATTGTTGATGAACGTCAGAAATATGACTATAGGCAGGAACTTGTCCATCACTGAGAAACGGAGTTGGCGAAAATTGATTACTAATAAATGAATGATTCCCTTCAACATTCGTAATTTGCGAGTAATTCTGAGAAGAGAAATTCGGGTCAAGGTAGATTCGATTCCAATTCATTGGTAATGAATTATTGAAGTATAGATTATTGTTTAAATTGCCAAGGTTATTGTGGTTATAATAATTCGTGTATTGTTGAGGCACGAAAAGAATTGGAGAAGTAGGAGGCTGTTTTATGTGTGATTGCTGCGGGTTATTCGTTAAAGAGTTGGTGTTTAGTGCTTGTTGCCTTGCGTCAATTACTAATCTTCCAACCTTACGAGCAAGTTCTTTATATTCTGCTTTAACATGAGATGGCTCATTTTTCCAGGATGCACTGACATAACCAGACATGTCCGTCATTTTAATTCGATGCTTATATAACTTTAACTGATCCAAATATGCAATACGATAAATGAAGAATGCATTTGGACTTTTTGACGATACTCGATTTTGCCTTCGTTTTTCTAGGAGATCTTTTGGATTGATTTGAGGCGGAAACGGCACTTTTATGTCTCTTGGGTTCATTTTATAAGGTTATGTACAAAAGAATAAAGAAAAAAATAACGGAATAAATTTTGAAGAGACGTAGAGATCAAAAACTTTTCAAAGTAAGGCTGCATTTATATAATATTATAATATGCATGACTTATCTATTTTAATCAACATATGTATTAATATAAAGTCAACCATTGAAACAATTCTATAGAAGTACAACAAAAGAAAATTTTTGGATGTTGAGTATTCCGGAGTTTATTTCCGAAAAAATTGCTTTATATTTGAGCTTTCAATCTATCCAATCTTGGAAGTGATCAATGTGACACGTTTGAATCGATGTTACACAAAATGGCCATTTCCCGCAAACATTTAAATAAACTAAAGTGAATGACGCGTCACATTAATTTGATAACACGTCTATTTAAGTTTCTTTCAATTTGTAATCTCGTGAAACGAAAATAAATCCTGTTATTATATTAATCAATTTCGAATTTTTTTGGGGGTCGTTAACCCATTTTAGTTCTTTTCAAGTTTATGATTTTCACGAGAACAACATAAAAACCTTAATATAACAAAGCGCGGTAAAAGTAAATCCTACTTTATTTGGAAAAAAAAGAATCCCTTTCCTTCTTTTCTTCATACAATAGTTGTCAAATCAATTATTACCAACATAAATAATGTTATTTATATAATTTTTTATTTTTATCTTAATTCTTTTCATGTAACTTTGCAAAAAGATAAATCTTCATTCTAAAAAAAGGGATTCTTCAATTATCATAAACCGGTTGTTTTCCGCAAACGGGATGACCTCCATTACGGTTTACAACGGTTTTTAGTATTTGCTTAATTTTAATTTAAAGTACCCAAGGGTCAAATTATTGATGGATTCTCAATCTCATCTCTGTAAGAACCAATAGAAATTTATAAAATGTATAACCTGGTAGAAACAGGTTACTTTTATTCTGTTTTAGTTTATTCCAATTTCGAAAAAAAAAATAAAAATAAATAAATAAATAAGATCGATAATCAAATTACAAATTATACAGTAATTTAATAATAGACCACTCTGTAGATTTGATTGGATGAGGTTTCAAAGTCTTATTATGGAAATTTAAATTAAAATCTTTCTGCATCACGAAAAACGGATTCTGATTTCCGTTGTAAAGTTAACACAATCGTGTCTTCTCACTTCCTTTTTTGCGTAAAAGCATTCGACGTAATTGGTAAGGTGTTTCGGACTGCGGTGGTTCCATTCTCCGTTAACTTTTTTTTTGCTGCGTGCCTCTATCAACTAGCTGTGGCTGTGTGGCTGAGGGGGCAAGAAATTTTTATGATTTGTCAAACGATTCTTATGCCACGTTTTGAATTTGACCATCTGAACCCGTCATTGTTTTTTTAAAAAAAAAACGGTAAAAAAAAAAAAGTACTCATGTCTAGTGAAAAAGATTGCGAATTCGTCATAGTTTTTCATTTCTTTCATTTACTCAATAAATTGAATTTTATACAAGTATTTCTAATTTAAATGTCAAAACTTTGCGCGTACTTTATTATATTCTCTAGCGGAATTCGAGTATCCCATTATTCTCATACTTTTGTCTTATTGCAATGTACATAAATAGAGAGAAATGTACTTTCTTGAGCTTTGTAGATCAGTTGATCTCGGAGATACTAAACAAACAACTCCGATTTTTTATAAATCTTTTTTATTCTTTTTGGTTTATAAGAGAAACTAATGGATTTACAAAACAAGTAACACAAATCAAAAGCAAAAGCACAGCATACGGAAAGTTTAAGTAGGGATTACCGTAATACTCTCCAATTGACTAAATTTCTTGGGTGAACTACGCATAATCAGATTTCAAGAATGATACACTACATAAATTTGAGATGCAAGGTTAGAAGTCTTGGTATTATCTGGGTATGAGAAAGAGTCGAGTTTTTTTTGATTTTTTGTAATACAATATATATATATAGAAATATACTGTATATGTATAGTATTGTTATAGTTTAAACCTAATGAGATATCATTATTGTCCTTTTTTTCAGTTATGATTTCTATTTATGATTATTCGGTATGAAATGAGTAAAAATCCATATATATTTAGAATGCTTCTTGCATTGAATCTTTGTTATTTCATTTAAAGAAGAGCCATATAATAGCCCCGTTTATGATATAAATTTAAGGACAAAGATCCATCCTTTTTTTGTCACAATATCACATTTGACGCTGTAAATATATCTAAAACATCCCCTCCCAAAATAATTTCAATTAAAAAGTTTCAAAGTAATTGATACATATTTAATTATCATATATTTTAAAATAGAAAACGCTTCAAAAAAAGAAATTGAACAATAACCATGCTTGGAAACTTCCAATTTCATACGAACATAATAATACGTGGGAATGGCTGAAAATCGTACGGATGAAATTGATGAAACACAACAATATAAAAATTGTTTGATAAAGATTTGATTATATTTACTTTTAATTTCATAACATGCTGGTCTCGTGCAATGTGGTGCTGTGGTGCTATGGTTGCATAGTACCAAGGAATTTGAAATTTTCACTCCCTTCAACTTTTTCCCAAGGAGTGACAGAGGGATGAATTGCTAAATATGGACAGCTTATCATTACAATTTGTGCTTAGGAACACAATATAAAAAATATTAACATACAGAAAACATGACTTTTTTTTGATGAATTGCATAAATTTATTATATTCTTATAACAAGAAAAAAAAAAAATAATAATAAAATAAAAAAAATTTAAATGTTGACACATTTTTTATTTTTTTTTTTTTGTAATTGCATATCTGTCATCTAAAAGCTACGCCGTACTTCATACAAAAGACTCCCTCTATATCTAACGGTAAATATGGTTTTTTAGAGTTATACCGTGAAAATATTCTTGGAAAAAGCCCTAATTCATCGATCTTTTTTAACCCCAAAAAAGTATAGAAAATAGATAATTTTAAACCTTTAGAATATTGTAAACAGGTTCGAAGACTTTGTGATGAGCCCAATAGCTCATCGATCCAATGTAAGATACCTTTGATTACTGGAAATCAACATACTTTATTTAATATTGCAAAATCAAAAATTATTTTCTAATTACAGGGTTCGAAAGTTTCAAAGTCTTGATTAGAAAACCACGTTGTTATTAGTGCCGCGAAATCATATTGGAAATTTGATTGTCAAAACTCATTTTGACTTGATGGAAAGACGAATTTCGAGGCAAGTAAAAAAAAAAATATCCTTTCGAAAGAAGGCTGTCAAAGACTTGGAAAGAAAAGGAATCTCAAAAAACAAGACGTTGAATTCTTATCGTTCAGAGATAATGGCAGATTTATTAATACGGTTTTTGTTTCGATTGACTCTCGAAAGCTTAACGAATGCCTTGGTGTTGAAATAATGTCACGATAAAAAGAGATATCTATTGGACATGGAAAAATGTTCAAGGGTGCAGGGACGATGATTTTCGGAAAACCGCAGCCGCAGAATTAGTGCTGATCGTAGATCTTTACCGAATTGGATAAATCCAACCAGCATTAATAATGTAAATTTCCTAATTTGGTAAAGATTAAATGTTAAATTATATTAATTTTTGCCATAATAACGCAGAATTTGTTGAATACCACAGAAATACCGCAGAAACCAGTACTTTTTTAATACGAGGCATATTGCAGAATTTATCTTTACCGCAGACGGAATTATTTTTGGCACCGCAGAAAATCATCGTCTCTGCAAGGGTGTCCTTGAAACTAATTAAAATTTCTCGCAATGATATTGGTAACCGATCAACAAGATCCGCGATAAACCTGCCGCTTTTTCTTAAGTACATTTTTTTTTGAATAATGTTTTTTCTTTTACTTTTCATTTATTTATCTATGTAATAGTTAATACAAATTCCCTAGTATTTATTATTTCAAGGATAAAGATTTTTTAAACATTATCATTATTCATATCTGATAAAGATTAAATTATAGAAATGAAATGAATCTCTTCGTTAAAAAGTGCGAGCCGATAATATTGCTACTTCACCACAGAGTTCCACAACATAGTAAATGTTTTCGATCAATTTAAATTATTAAATCATTATTTAATTCTAATTTTTAAATATTAAGTTCATTCTTTTCATAACCTTATAAATAATTTTACAAAATATTAGATTTTCTTTTAAATGCAAAGGTATGAATATACTATCTTCATTTCGTTAAATAAAAAATCTCTTTTTAATAAAAAATAATCTTTTAATAAAATAAACATTTTCTATAAGATCCTTAGGACTCATATTGGAAACAAAAAAAAATAAAATTTTTTTTTCTCATGTAAAAAGTCTAATGAGAAAGTTTAACTTTTTCAAATATTTATAATCGGAAGAAGAATATCCTGGGATTTCAAGTTTATAAGATCTGCATGATAGCAGATCCATTTTTTAAAATTCTCTTCGCTTATAATCATTTCGTCAATCTTTTTTGCTAAAAAAGAACTTCTTTCAATTTGGTCATACTGATTGATGATCATCTTTCACCAAAATTTTATTAAAAAAGCAGTGCATTCCAATCTACCATACATCATTGTACCGCAAAAGATATTCACGAAGATCAAAAATTTTGATGAACATTTGAAAATTCAATTAGCAATTATATCTAATAACGCATTATTTTTATTCTTTTTATAATGGTTTAGAATTCTCTAGCGAAATTCGTGTGTTCAATATGTTGGTTTCTGGATATTATAATTTTTGACGTTGAATTTTAGTAATTAAATGATGAAACGTCTAGGGGAGGAAAAAGACCAAAGTTTACTATTAATATTCCAAATATGTTTTTTTCGAGCCTTGATATGCTCGTCAACCCATTTTTTCTTCCGGCAGTTCCATATATATAGAGATCCGTTATATGTTATTATTTTGGAAGTCAAAGGGTTCCTTTCTATTGTTATCTCTTATTTTTTGAATAAATACCTTTTTTTGCCGTATCATCCGAATCATGTGATATCATAAGTCAACAATTCGACAATGGATTATTTTTTTAATTTGCAATCTGATCTATTTTGATTTGTAATCTTTTATCATGTTTTAAATTTGTCATTTGTAAACGTTTTCCAAGAAACTTGTTTGCTATTTATGATCTAACGCAACAAAGAATGCAAACTAATTAACTTTCTTGCATTATTTAAAAAAATAGATCTTTTTCTTTTTTAATAAATGTTTAACTAAAACTAGCAAACATGGAGTTCCTCCGATATAACATGGAGGGTTTTTTTTCGGCAGATGAAACATTGTTCACTAGACTTAATTAGATAATTAAACAAGGAAAGACTCTGTTAAGGCGCGAAAAATTACGGCAAAAATTTTACGAATTAGTTCTATTTAGAAATTTTTTTTTTTTTTTTTACACGGATTTAAAATCGGAAAATGATTCCATAAAATTAAAATTTACAAAAAAGTTAAAGCATACAATGTATAAATTATGTATGTTTTAACCTTTTAGGTTTAGGTTTGAAAAGATCTACGGATCCATTGACCAATCAAAATTCGGTTATCAAAAAAGTACCGCGCACAAATTACGCGCAAAAAAAAAAAATAATAATAATAGTTTAGAATGTTCCAAAAACGAAAATAACTTATAACGTAATAACCAAACAAATTTGCAATATAATATAAAAAGACAACGGATTTGAGAAGATAGATCAATATGTCTGGATCATAAATTCCGGAAAACTTCTCCTTGTCGTATAATTTCAAAAGGAAAATCTCCTAAAGCAAGAAATGGATTTCAGATTAAAACGAACAAGCATGCACATTTTTTTTCCTATATTTATGTATCACACGGCTTATTTACGAATTATATCTTTTCGTTCAAGGAAATATGACCAAAAATGATGAACAGATCAAAAACATTGAACTCTTTATACATTCCAAAATTCCTTTCTAGCTCATTGTGTAAATCGACAAATTAATTGTTTATGCATTATTAAAGATCGTGAGAAACTTTTAAAACAAAAAATCATCTGATCGGTTGCCAACCTCTTTTTTGCGTTAATGACCTTTTTTTTTCATTTACATAATCGAAAACTTTTACATGCTTTTTGTTTTTTTCAAGCTAGTTCTCCAATTAATTGGATATTTTGTTTATCATTTTTGGCACGGAATTGAATGATGCATTATTAAGAGGTGTTTGTACTCCATGATAAAAAGCCAAGGCTTTGATATAAAGTTAAAGAACGTCGCACAACAAAACTCTATTACAACATATTAAAACGATAACATTATTTACTTTCTTTGTGTTCTATTTATCATCGACATATAAGGATTCGATTTGATTTGAACCTAATACAAAACTTCCATTTAAACTACAACATATTTTCGGAAATGAACCATAACTTCCGATATCTTTCCGAATTTATCTACATAATCTTAATTAAAATTTTGGGGATGGTTCCTTGTTTTTTTTTTTTGCTGTTGTTGTCGTTCATTTCTTTTCGAAATTTAAATTACATGATTGAATAAAAAAAAAAAGAATTTTTTCTTATTCTAATATATTATTAAATGCCAGGTCGTTCCAAAATACTTCTATAAAAGGATGCGATAATTTCTCGCTTTCCCAATATCGAGTTGGAATTGTTAACTCTACTTTCAAAGCAATCTTCTTCTCTTGACAATCTTTTTTTTTTTTTCTTACTTTTTTTTTCCTTTTAAAAAAAAGAGAAAAAAAAAATTCAAGCTAAAAATAAAAAGAATCAAATCGTCCTTCACTATTCTGGTTTTTTTTTTTTTTATGATAAACATGTCAAAAGATTCCAAAGAAAATCCTCCCGTTACCCAAATTATTACTCTCCCCTTCCCTCCAATTATCACCGCGCAAGATGTTCTTGACAGAAGATCGTCTGCAAGAGCTTTGACGAAAAGTCCAAATGCCTTCTTCGTCTATAGGAAAGCCTTTGTCTATTATTTGCAAATTTGTAATTACAATCTTAAAATGCGTGATGTGTCTTCAATGGCGGGATTATCTTGGAAAGCGGCCTCAAATGAAGTTAAGGACGCTTACAAAAAAATTTCCCGTGAAGTTGAAAAACATTTGGCTGCACAACGCAAGAAGAAGGTAGAAGAACCAAGCAAAAATCAAGAAAGTCTTAGCCAAAGGCCAGTTCTTTTAGAGACCCCCTATCAAGTTCATAGTTCTTCAACTCCTTACTTGCCGCAACAACCCCCACCTTTGTCGGAAGAAGCCTGGATTACCATTTCCAACCATAATCAGCATTTTCAACCAAGACAAGAAATCAATTATGACTTTTCACCTCAATATAACGATTTGTCTCAACTCGCGTTTCAATATAATAATAATTATAATAATAATAATAATAATAATGTCAACCAACTCATCGTTCCTTCATCTCGTGTTGTAGAAAATAATCAGCAGTTTGAATTGCCTCAATTAATCCAATCGTCACAAGAGTTGGAATTAATTCAACGAGATATTACAACGATCTTGGATGACATGCCGCCGGTTAACTCAGCCATCGTTCAATTCGATAGCGATTATTTTGATATCGATAATTTTGTCTTTTTGACCTCGGAACAACAGTTTACTCCAAGGTTTTAAACACCTATTTCTGTTATAGTGATTAATGATTTAATTATAAATTTTGAATTATGTTTTAACTTTTATTTTACAAACCATTCGATGTTTTGTCGAATTGTATGTCATTTAAATGATATTTAGTATGTTTTAAGTTTTATTTTTTTAAACCAATCGATGTTTCTATCGAATTGTTATTTATATCATAAATATGTCCTGTAACGTTTTAATATGTTTTTTATGTTTTAATGGAACTTGCCAATGAACCTTGGAATCTGGCATATAATTTTTGCACATATAATGTGTCGTCAATTTAATAATTCGTTTTACAAAAAAAAAAAAAAAAAGTGGCAAAACTAGGAGCATTGCTTTTGCTTTTATATAGTTATATTTCATCATAAGATCGTTTTTTTTCCTATTGTTATGAATCTTTAATCATGATCATGAAATAATAAAAATATAAGATTATCACGTGAAAATATTATTACGCGTCATTAAACCCCAAAAAAAAAGTGGAGAGAACACGAGAACACAAGGTTCGCAAATCTAAATCGAACTGAGCCAACCAAAAGAAGGAAAAAAAAATGACGTGTCAAAATTGGTTCAAAATTTTGTAAATCCTTCTGTATTGTCACAGAATAATTAAAAAATAAGGAGCTTACAAATTTCGTAAATATGCATTAAATTAAACTTACAAAACGATAAGAAAAATTTTAATTACCATAAAAGTATTATCATACTTACTTATTTATTAATCTTAAATGGCATTATCTTCTTGTAACAATACAAATAATACAAATAAGTCGGTATGGTGTGAAAAAGCAAAAAAAAAAAAAAAAAAAACAAATCACAATAAAATGCGCTAACTTATTTCGGCGTTATATCTCTTCAATTCGTGTTAATTACTATCTATAAATCATCGATTCTTTCATATGATTATTTTTTTAAGTTTTTTTTTTTTTTTTTTTTTTACACCTTGGATAATCTATCTTTATTGAAACATGTAGGAGGTTTTGAACGCTGTTTCGCGTAAAATCTAATACTAATCTGGTATTCCTTGAATATTTAAGAGTAAATTAAAAAATAGGATTTCATCTGATACACCAATTTTGAAATATTTTCGCGTTTCTTGATAGGAATTCTTGAATCTATTTTCATGTATTTCGGCGTCTTGTGACAATAACAATGCACAAACAAAGAATACTTCAAAAAAATTCTTACAATTTAAAATTTTCTTATTGTCATAATTTCCGTCGATTGCTGCGCCTTACATTTCAAAATAAGCTTCGGAATCCCTAAATAAAACTTCTTTAAATAAATACTAATAAATTCTCCAATTAATCTAATTACGGAAGGTCTTACGGAAAGGGTGACGATTTGCACCAATTATTATCGCATCATTCGTTATTATAAAATAATAATTGGATTTCAATAATTATAATTATAATATTATTAACCAACCCTCTTTTATTTTCTCTCTCTTTTAAATCACAAAATGATTGAAATATTAAATGGTAAAATATCAAAATTAAAAAAAAAAAATAGATAGAATTTGTTTACAAAACCACGATTTCTTCGATTTTAGTAATAAAAAAAAAACCAAAGATAATTTATGTCAAGTTTAAAGGTTAACAAAAGCCAAGGCATAGAAACAATATAAACTCATTTTCAAAATTAGTAACTTCATTAAGAAGTAAAGTAGCTCAAACAACAATTTTGGTAATTAATTTTAATAAAAACTGTGACAACGCTGATAGTTTTTTAGAGTCTTTGAAAGATTTGATAATATACGTCGCGAAGTCAACGTTGGCTCTCTTTACAGATTCATACAAAAGTGTTAAAAATACTGAGTAGATGAATTTGTGGCGGTTGATAATTCCTCTCCTATTCAAAGACAATCAACCACTCCAATGACCGTGTCAACTTCAACAAGAGCATCCCCTGCCTTTGTTAAATCACAATATCCTCCTGTTGCAAAGTCACTTTCGGAATTATCAAATTCACTAATGAAGTTCACCAACCCCATTTGATTCTCAAATTGAAGAAACTCACCCGGATATTACTCAATTGGAATCTCTATCAGGTTTTCAATGAGAACCACATCACAATATTCTCAAGGAATATTAGAATAAAACGACTGTAAATTCTACAACGATTGCGTTCAAGAGACAAAGAGTACGTCCTCGCTATTATTGATCAAGTGGCACCTATATTAGAGCGCAAATCTACTTCCTGAGCGGATATTGTTATGGCTGGAAGTAGCCGTGATACGAGAAAATCAACAAACACTTCCGAAGCAGATTACAATGATCATACTTTCGATTTATTATCAGGTTCTGCTGACGAAGATACTTTTTCTCGAAAGATTATATCATTTTGAGAAAGTTATGTTAAGTTTTTTACCTTTTATTAATGAACTTTTTATCAAGGTTTTATTAATTATTATTCAAATTAGAGCCTTGTTCGGGTATACATTAGTACCACAAAGTCAAACGCTCTCGAAGATGGCATTTACACCTGGAAGAATACAAAT